CCATCCCTGTATCTTTTGGCCTGGCTGCCAGGCACAGCTGTGGCTCTGCTCTGTGCTTCCCTCAGGCAGCCTGAGCACACTGAGCCCACAGCACCACGTGCTGCATTCTGGGCTTGAGGGGTATTGGGAGCTCTGGTGGGGGAGGATTCCTGAGCAGGGTCAAACCCAGCAGTTCCTGGTGCTGGGATGTGTCCACAGCACATCCTGAGGTGTTTGGCAGCAGCAGCCCTGAGGGTCTGCTCAGCAGAGCTCTGGGGACAGGAACTGGTGACATGTCCTGGTCAAGGACTGGAGTGGCACCAGGACCTGCTCCCCATGGTGGCAGTGCAATGTGAGTGCCACATCCCCAAAATCCTCCAGCAAAGGCAGCTCAGGGCCTTCTCCCAGTGCAGTTTAACTCCTTGTTGGCTGCTCCCTGCAGGTATCCCAGTTCCTCTCCCAGGGCTGTTTCCCACTTGGATTGAAATCCTGGTGTCTTTGCAAGGGGCCTCAGGGATCTGGATCTGGCCATGCTGCTCCAGTTCAGGTCACCCTCAGTTTGGGAAGTTGCTCTTCCCAAGGGCTCAGGCTGCTGTAAGCTGGGAAATGCTGTGGGCAGCTGCCCCAGGCACCCAGAGCCACCCAGGGAATGGGAGAGGGGCTGGAGTGGGGGTGGCAGACTCATTCCCAGCTCAACTTAGTTAACAGAGCTGCTGATTGTGGCCTGGCAGAGTCAGGGGAGCAGCAGCAGCTCTGCCAGGACCTGCCTGGAGCCTTTCCTTGTCCCAGGTTTCATCGAGGAGCCCGAGAGGAAATATTGCTTTGAGTGTGCCACGGAGGAGCAGTGCCAGGAGTGGGTGGAGGCACTCAGGAGAGCCAGGTGGGCTGAGCCCTGAGCCAGGGCAGTGCTGGGGGCTCTGGGCTGTTCTGGCATCAGGAGCTGGGAGGGCAGTGCTTGTCTCCTCCCAGACAAGCTTCCCTCAGCTCTAAATAGCATCTGGAACTTGCCCACATCCTTCCCCTGCTCTGTTCCTGTCTTGCAGCTACGAGTTCCTGAGGAGGAGCCTGATTTTCTACAGGAATGAGATCCAGAAGATGACAGGGAAGGTGAGTGAGTCCCTGCAGGGCACTGCTCAGGTGTCACTGCTGGCTCTGGGTGGCAGCAGGGGCTGTTGCTGCCAGTCCTGCCCAGGCTGTGTGTGGGAAGGAGATCCCAGATCCCATAGGGAGCCGTGGTCTGCACAGCCAGACCTGAGCACCTCGCCCTGGCTGCACAAATTCCAGTGCTGGAGTGGCCCAAGGTTGGGAGCTGGACAGGTCCAGAGCTGTCCTGGCCTCCCAGGGGCTCTCTGGAACAGTTCACAGCCCCTGGGCAGGCCCATGGCTGGGGATGCTGCTCACCCACCCCTGCCAGCTGCAGGGAGGGAGGGGCTGTGGCTCCCTGCACCTTGGCTCCCTGCTGTGTCCTGTGTGTCCCAAGGGCTCTGGCCTTTGTCTGCATCTCACTGGTGCCTCCCTGTGCTCCCCACAGGACCCCCTGGAGCAGTATGGAATCTCAGAGGAAGCTCGTTTCCAGCTGGGAGCACACAGGCAGTGACCCTCCCCTGCTGCAGCTCCCCACACTGACCACCTGACTTTTTTTATTTATTACCCCAATCATTTTGTAGGTTTTTGGTTTTTTTTTTACAAATTCGTTGCACATTCCCAGTGCCCCAGCTGGGGGGGCTGAGCTGTTCTGTGGGTGCTGCAGTGGGAGCAGAGCCCCCAGGCCTGGGGCTCACAGAGCCCCCAGCTCCTCCAGGCCATGCTGGGGCCAGCTCCACCCTTCAGCTCAGCTCCCTGGCTCAGGATCCTCCTGCAGTCTCCCAGGCCCATCCCTGGCTGTAAAAGGATGTGACTGATGCATTTCTGGGCTCCAAATTAACCCCTCCTGCCCTCCAGGGAGAGTGGGAATTCCTCCAGCCCAGCCACAGCTCCAGCTGATGGACAGGAGCATTGCAGCCCTGTGCAGCCACGGCTTTTTGGGGTCTTCTTTTCCCTCCCCTGGGCAGGAGCTGCAGTTCCTGGGGGCTGGATAAGCCCATCCAAAAGGACAAAGCTGCAGAGCACGAGGGAACAAAGGCAGGGAGAGATCCCTGTGTGATCCTGCCTGCCTGCAGAGCTCTGCAGTGATCCAGATGGAGGAGCTGGCAAAGGCAGGAGCTGCTCCCTTTGGCTGCAGGATGGAGCTGCAGGACACCAGCTCAGCCAGGCATTAACCCTTCATTCCCTGAGCCACTGCTGCAGCTTTTCACCCCTCTGTGCGTCCCCTTTGTCCAAAGGGACAGACCAAAAAACTGTGCCAAGGTCCCAGTGAGCTGCCAGGGAACCAGGGCTGCCTGTCCTGGAGCTCCTGCAGGGAGGAGATCAGGATTAGGAACAAGATCCCCATAGGATCAGCCCTGGCTCTGGCTGCACCAAGGAAAACTGCCCAGGCATGAGGGGTGGAGGACACTCCCCACACCCAGGGCTGCAGCAGACCCAGATTCTTGACTGCCAGAGCAGCTTCCCTGGACCCAGCCTGGGAAAACTCCCAGGAGAGGCCTCTGGGAAGGGCCTAGGGGTCCCTGTCAGAGGCTGCTGGCAGCAGGAACGGGGCTGGGGCTGGGGCAGGGCGGGGCCTGGCCTGGCCTTTGGCAGCTGCAGCTCTGGGCGTTGTTCCCCTCCAGCTGCCCAGCCCAGGGAGGGGGTGGAGCAGCCTCTGAGCTGGGCTTGAAAGGAATTTTGGGGTCTTTTCCTCCTTGGCTGGGAATTCATGCCCAAAGCAGAGCCCACACTGCAGCCTTTGGTATCCTGGTGTTCCCTCTTTACCTCATGCAGCCGAGTACCAGGAGTGACACCTGTCACTGATGCTTTAGTTTTTATCTCAAAGCTGAGATTTTCCCCTTTTCCCTCCCCAAATACTCCCTTTCCCTTGAATCATTCCAGGTGCTTGCTCCAGAAATTACCAAAATCAGCCAAGGGGCAGCTGCCCTGAGGATCAGCCGAGGGCAGCAGGGAGGGAGCAGAATCCAGGGGGGGCTGTAGACAGATGGCAGCTCCAGGGGAAGCAGCAGCGAGGGATTAAGAGCAGGAACACACAGGAGCTGTGCTTTAGGGAATCTGTATCCTTGCATGACTCCAAAGGGCATTTCAATCCTGCCCAGCCTGCATTTTTACAAAGCAGAGCTGAGCTCTCAGCTGGGCCTGCCACCACTGTAGCAAATGTGTCACCTGTGCCTTGCAGGACACCTTTCCCCAGGTGCAGCTGCCACCCTCCAGTGTCACTGAGCAGAAAATGGGGTTTATTTGCTGTTCCAGGGAACAATTGGGTGAGCAAGAGCAAAGCCCAACACTTTGAATGTTCATCACCAATGACATTTCTTACCTGAATGTACAACAAAAGCTGTGAAGAGTTCCAGGGCCAGGCCAGGCCCAGGGACTCAGATCCATTGTAGGGCAGGGCTGGGACACGGGGTGGGATTTAGGGAGGGAGGCTGGTACTTTGTAGACACTTTGAAATCTGCATCAACTGCTGGTGATTTACAGACAATTGTTCATTTTTCACGTTCTGATGACTTTGCTTGTTGTGTTTCAGCTGAGAGCCATTTCTGTGTTGTACAGTGAACATTCCCAATAAATCTTGTTTTAATCTTTTGATGGTCAGAACTGTTCTACAACACCAAAACCTCCCTGGGAGGGGTGGCTGGAGCCAGAGGGGCACTGGGGGTGGTTCCTGCTCAGGACCCAGCTGGGGATGGCTCCACCAGGGGCTTTGGGGAGGCTTTTTCAGACAATCAGAATATTCTGGGTTGGAAGAAACCTTTAAAGGTCAGCTAATCCAAGTGGTACTGGAGCCATGCCAGGGCAGGTGCCAAAGCTGGGTAGGGAGAGGAGCTGGGTCAGGTTCTGGCCCAGCAGAGCCAGGGCTGGGGGCTCGGGGTGAAGCTGGGGCTGTGCCTCATTTGAAATCCTCCAAGGAATTGGCTCAGGAAGTGTTTGGGGCCTCCAGCTCCAAGGTTCAAACACAGCCCTGGCTGCCTGGGGCGTTGGTGCCACTGCTGCCTAAAAGGGAACAGAGCTTGGATGGGTTGGGAATCATGGAAGTTTAGGTTGGAAAAAACCTCTAAAAAATCGAGTCCAACCATGACCCAGCACTGCCATGGCCACCACTGCCCTGTGTCCCCAAGTGCCACATCCACACTTTGTTCCAACTCCTGGGGCTGGTGACTCCACTCTTACCCTGGGCAGCCCCTTCCAACACTTCCCAAACCTTTCAGGGAAGAAATTTTCCCAATTTCCAATTTAACCCCCCCCTGGCCCAGCCTGAGGCCGTTCCCTCTGCTCCTGTCCCTGTTCCCTGGAGCACAGCCCGGCCCCTGGGCTGTCCCCTCCTGTCAGGAGCTGTGCAGAGCCACAAGGGCCCCCTGAGCCTCCTTTGCTCCAGGCTGAGCCCCTTCCCAGCTCCCTGAGCCCCTCCTGGAGCTCCAGACCCTTCCCCAGCTCTGTTCCCATCTCTGGACACCCCCAGCCCCTCAATGTCCCTTGATGGGTCCCGAGCTGTCCCCAGGCCCTGCTGTCCCTCCCCAGTGCCAGCACAGGATCCCAAACCCCAGAGCTGAAGGTGCTGCCTGGTTCAGGGGTCCCTGTGCCCCCCAAAGCCCCAAATCCCATTTCCCTCCTGACTGAGGCAGTGAAAGTCCACACAAGCTCAGTGTATTAAAATACAGACACTTTAATATAAAGACAAAACTTCAAAGCATCATTTCAATTACAAATCAAGGGAGACACAAGAAATTAAGTGGAGGGAGGGGAGCAAAAACTAACTCTTACATTGTGGAGAATTAGAAAGGCTGGGTGGAAATATATATATTATACATACATATATACACACCAGAATTCACACTACTGCTAGGCAGGAATGAAAGGAATGACAGAACAACTTACCAGTATAAAAAAAAAATAATCCAAAAACAAACCAACCAAAAAAAAAAAAAAAAAAAAAAACCCAAAAAAAAAAAAAAAAGATAAATTAGGGGAAGTTTGAATTTTAAATAATTCAGTTTAATAGGCTAAACTATATAAACTAATTCCTATTCACTAGGAAACATCCCATATCACTGTCCTAAGAAAATGGGTTTTTCTAAAAATCCATTGAAAAATGGATTTTTATTAGTAGTTAAAAGTTTACTAATCAATTCCTGAGCAACAGCAACCTCATCATCTACTGCTTTCCCCATCCAAGTCCCACTCAGCGAGGGCAGGCTCTCACTCCTAAAAAGTTTAAGTAGAACAGAGACCTAAAAAGTTGGGTTTTAATTGGAAATCGATCACTTCAATGATTAATAGGTTAAAAAAGCCAAGCAGGATGGATCAACCCATTCCACCTTTTCCTCAATAACTCCAGAGACAAAACCTTTTAAAAAAAATTATTTGACTGCACCAGAAAAGCAACCAGATGTACCTCGAGAAAACCAAAGGATCACAAACCTGAGAACTTCAGGGTTAGCATCGTCAAACTTGGAATTTTCAGATGAGATTTTGTTTTTACACCACAAAGAATTCAAGGAGCCTCTTCAGGAAGAGGATCCCAAACAGTAAAGTACTGGAGAATTATTTCCCAATTTTTTTTTTTTTTTGTCTTGGTTTTAAACCCTGAAGTTCCCAATAACAGCATCTTTCAATGCAATATTCAGTCTAAATATATATTTATATATTTATAATGTATAAGGATAAATAAAATATGGCACAACAACATTTTGAAACAGCTTTTAGTGAAAACCTGATCCGCAAATGGAGCGGAAAATGGAAATGGAGCAAAAAAAAAAAAAAAAAAAAAAAGAAAAAACCCTTTAAAACCAGTAAGAATTCAAATATTCATACACTGACTGCACATCTGTACTCCCAAAACTCCAATTCCTGTGATTTTTCCTCAGTGCTGCAAAGATAGTTCACAAAAACACTGTGAAGTTTCTGCTCCCCAAAAGCATTTTGGGTTCACAGCCCTGTCCAAGGCCCTCCCCTGCTCCCAGTCCTGAATCCCCTCTGTGCTTTTGGCTCAGGCAAAACAAGAAAAGCAGAATTTTCCACAACAGCCCCCCTGGGAGCTGGGATCATTCCAGGGTGGAGTTCCCCAGGACAAAACACACAGAGACCCCTCAGGATTCCAGGGCCTGGAGCACAGGGACAATTCCAGCACCAAAATCCCACAGGACGTGACCAAGCAAAGCCACCTCAGCACCAGTGACAGGAGAACCCCAGACCCTGGGGAACGGCAGCTCCAGGAGCAGCTCCTGGGGACAGAGACCCCGGGCCAGGCTCTGCAGGTGGCCCCAGGGCTCAGGGGGGCAGGGAGGGCCCAGGGAGGGCCCAGCAGGGAGGGGAATCCCCATCAAGAGCCTGAGAGCAGCTCCCAGCACTGGGAGTCCCAATCAGCAGGACCTGGAGCAGGGCAGGGGAACCAGAGCATCCCAAGAGCATCCCGAGGGCACAGGGGGCACAGGGGGAACAGGTCCCCAGTCCAAGGTGGGCCCTGAAGGGACCCAGAGGAGCTGGAAGCACTGGCTGTCCCCTCCCTGAGCCAGGCCTGGGTGTCCCCAGCAGCTCTGCACTGCTGGGACTGGGACTGTCCCTGTCACCACCCCCCTGTCACCCCCCTGTCACCTGGACTCTCTGCCAAGTGGAAAAATATCCACTGGTGGCAGATGCTGCTTCCTGAACACACAACCCCAGAGGGAACCAAGCCCCAGCAAGAACCAAAGCCCAGCAAGAACCAAAGCCAGGGCTGCCTGCCCATGGCCACAGGAAAGGCCCTGGAAGGAGCAGCCCAGCAGAGCAGGAAGGTCCAGGTCCTGCCAGGGGAAGGCTGGGATGAGATGGAAACAGGGACCACAGGCAGTAAATTCACTGTGCTGGGGAGCACCTGAGCTGTGGAAGCCCACGGAGCTGGGGGAAGATGCAGGAGCTGCAGGTGAGGCAGGTCTGGCTCTCACCCATCTCCTCCCAGCTGTGTCTGTACACAATCAGAACAGTTTGGGAAGATTGGAAAGCACCAATAAAGTCATTTAAGAAGCCAAAGAAGGCTGAAGTGACCCCAGCACACGTCTCAGAAGAAAATCTGTCCCCAGGGTGAGGGCAGGGACACAGCCCCACCCAGCCCTGCAGCAGTGCTGCAGCTGGACAGGGTTCCAGGTAGGATGGAAGAGCTGATCAGACTGGAAACCTCTCCACTCCCAGGCTGCAATTGCTCAAGTGACCTCCTCAAGGATTAAATTTGACTGAAGAAAGAAGAAAGTGACTCAGCTGAACTGAGTGTGACCCAGAGCTGGGCGAGTTTCACACTAAGGAGTGTCAAATCCTGGGGATTTGGAATCTCTGGATTCAAGAAGAGATGAGTAAATCCATTCATGAGCAAGGGCTGTCACCTTCCTGCCTGCAGGACCTCAGGGACTGTGCTGTGAGCCCAGACAGACCCTCCAAGGGCTGATGCCAGCAATGAGGGGAAATCCCAATTCTTGTGCCAGGCTGAGCCCAGAGCCCAGCCCCAGGCAGGAGCAGAGGGAGCACAGAGCCTGCACTGGAGGATAAAATGCTGCCAACAGCAAGGAAGGTAAAGAGATGGAAGCACAAGAGTTTCTGACCTGTGTGGCTGAGGAGACACAAATTGCTGGTGGTCAGGAGGAGCTGGATGGGCTCAGCCCAGGATGGCAGCTCAGGGAGGATGTGCTGCACTCCCCCAGAACGCTGCTCCCTGCTTGTCCAGGCTGATCCTGCAGGGAACAGCATGGAGGGGATGGATCCAACCCCCTTCATCCCCTGCACCAGCTCAGATCCAGCCTCCTCATCCTCAGCAGTGCTTTCCCTCAGCAATTCCAGCTGCTGGCTGTCTCCACAGCCCTGGCTGATGGAAGAAGAATTGCTGCTGAATTACTCATCTGCAGCAAGTCCCAAATTTAGGTGCAGTGCCTGTGGAGCCCTCCCAGCACTGTGGCTCCCCAGGGGACTGGGCCTGGCGAGCCAGAGGTGGCAAATGCCCAAGAAAGGAAGAGCCCACGGAATTCTTGTTCCTCAAGGCTGACATTCAGCAGCAGGGACAGGTTTTCCTCAGCACAGCACTCAGGAAGTTCCATTTTTTGGCAGCAGACTTGCTCCAAGATGTGTTTTTGCTTCCTGGCGAGTCCTTTGCTGGCAGCAGAGGCCTGGAGGGAGGGAATGGTGTCACAGCCCCAGAAGGACTGGACCCAGCACCAGCAGGAGAAATTCTCTTTTTTGGAACTGTTAGGCTTTGATTGCTCCAGAGGATCTTCAATTATTGCAAACAGGTTTCAGCTCCTGGCTCAGTGCTGCAGCAGTGGGGTCACAGCTGTGGCCACATGGATCCAGCCAGGTGAGAGCTCTTCCCAATGTGCAGACAGAGCAGCAAGAGACTGGCCAGGAGCTGCACTCCAGGAGCCTCCAGGTCCCTTCCAACTCAGGATGTTCTGTGAGTCCAAGATTTTAAGCTGGGCTTGCCCCAGATCGTGGCAAAGCAATAAAAGGTCACGGAGAGGGAAGACAAAACCAGGAATCTCTTGGCAAAAACATCTCCCAGCTCAGCCAGTGCTGAGGCACCAGCCCCAAACTGCCCCCCTGGCTGCCCTCAGTGCTGAGCAGGCCCCAGCTGGAAGCACAACCTGGGAATCACAACCAGGAACAGACACAGTGCAGGGCCTGGGCTGGGGGGACACCAGCAAGGCTGGAGCAGCTCCAGATGCCCCAGAGTGGGGTGGGCAGGGGGGCACAGAGGGCACTGGGTGGGCAGGGAGGGCACAGAGGGCACTGGGATGGCAGCAGGCACTGGGGTGCAGCAGGCAGTGCTGCACAGGCAGGGGGAAGATGAGGCTCAGGCAGACTGGATCCCTTTCCAGGAACCCCAAAGATTCACTCCTGGGTCTGCTCCCCTTCCTGGGTGAGTCTGGAGAGCCACAGAGCCAAAGCTCCTGGGAGGTGGCAGAGGCTCAGGCCCAGCTGTGCTGAGCCCCAGGGGTTGTGCTGCCATTCCTGAGGCTGCTCCTGGCCACCAAGGCAGTGACAAAGGTGACACTGAGGCACAGACAGGCTCTGCTTCTCCACAGCACCCAGCAAAGAGCAGGGGACAAACTCCTCACCCAAGGCTCCAAAGGGTCCTGGAATCACAGAATTGTTCAGGTTGGAAAAGATCTTCCAGATCAGCGAGTCCAGCTGTGAGGTGACAGTGGCCAGGCCACCCTGACCTCTGACAGCTCTACTGGATGCAGAGCACATCATTCCCAAAGGATCTGTCCCTCCTCAGCCTGCAGGGAGGGTGACACAGGTGACACAGGTGACCCAGGCCTGGAGCAGGGCACAGAGGGTTCCTGGGATCTGTGGGTTGGGTCCTTCTCCAGCAGGAACCCTGGCAGTGCCCTGGGCACCACCCAAACCAGGACAGGGATGGCAGCTGAGCTTTCTCCCTGGATCTCTGTGGCTGGAGGTGATGAAGGGAGGCACAAGAGCTCCAAGGGACACCAAATTCTGGTCCCTCTGCAGGAAAGGATCTGATCAAAGCAGGGGGGTGAAAAGCTTCTACTTGAATTTCCTCCTCTCTCTCTTTCACCAGAGATATAAACCATGGGGGAGAGGTAATTAGGAAATTAATTAAGGCTGCTGCCCCTCCAGCAATCACTCATTTACAGTCTCCAGAGGCCCCAGCACTCTGCTGTGTGCTGGGGCAGAAGCTGGAGCTGCCCAACTCCCAGCTGCAAAGCATCTGGGTTACTGTGCTCCTGGATTCCAGGACATACACTGAGTTTGGCTCCTACGAGAAGCTACTGGATGTTCCTCTCACCCTCTGAGCATTCCTGCCCTTCCCCAGGCTCTCCCTGTGCTGCCAGACCCTCAGCAGGACACACCCTGTCCCACACAAAGCAGAAATGCCAAAATGCCCCCAGCTCCCAGGGCTTTCAGTCCCTTCCCAGAGGATAAGGAGGCAAAGCCAGACCCCAGAGGCTGCACAGAGGCTGCCATGGAAGACACAGCCAGGAATCCACAGGACAACTGCACCTGGTCCTAAACCTCCCCAGGACTGCCCAGGATGAGGCTCAGAGCTGCACCTGCAGAGGGAGGAGCTGCTGCAGCCCCTGAGCCCCTCCAACACTCCCAACCCTGCTGGACCCAGGCAGGAGAGCCCAGGAGGGCACAGGGACCCCACTGAGCCCAAAGCCAGAGCCCAGGAGGGCACAGGGACCCCACTGAGCCCAAAGCCAGAGCCCAGGAGGGCACAGGGACCACACTGAGCCCAAAGCCACAGCCCAGGAGGGCACAGGGACCCCACTGAGCCCAAAGCCAGAGAGCCCAGGAGGGCACAGGGACCCCACTGAGCCCAAAGCCAGAGAGCCCAGGAGGGCACAGGGACCCCACTGAGCCCAAAGCCAGGGCCCAGGAGGGCACAGGGACCCCACTGAGCCCAAAGCCAGAGAGCCCAGGAGGGCACAGGGACCCCACTGAGCCCAAAGCCAGGGCCCAGGAGGGCACAGGGACCCCACTGAGCCCAAAGCCAGGGCCCAGGAGGGCACAGGGACCCCACTGAGCCCAAAGCCAGGGCCCAGGAGGGCACAGGGACCCCACTGAGCCCAAAGCCAGAGCAGCTCTGTGACCCTGGGGGCTCCAAGGGGCTCCTGCTCCTGCCTGGCTGCTGCAGTGGGAGATCCAGCAGGGAGCATTAGAGGGGTTAAAGCCAGTGCTGCCCCTCTGAGCACCAAGAGTGTTTTCCAAAGCCTGAATGTGATTTTTTTTTCCAGTCATTTTGCTGTTGCAATCCCCTTTCTACTGTAATATTTTTAATTGGTGCTTGGCCTGGCCTGAACTCAGGCCAGCCTGATTTCTACTTCAATGGATCCTCCTTCTCCTCCTCACTTTGTGCACTTGAATAAATAAGTTTTTTACAGGTTCATTGTGCATTGTACAAAGTAAAACCAAAGGAAATAAAGCATAGGGAACTGAGAAGTTTCCATCACAGCTCTATGAAATCAGCCCCTCCTGCACACACGGCACCGAGTCACGACGCAGGGGGACAGTGACAGCACAGGGTCAGGTCAGGGTGTTTTTGTGAACTACCATTCAAGAACCTACTGAAAAGCAAAGGAACACAAAAGCAAAATGCACCTTGTTAATCCATGGACACGGCCAGGCCGGGTCAGAGTCAAGCATCCAAACCCTACCAAGGAAAGCGTCGTGCTTGGAAGGAAAGAACAAGGAGCTGAGCAAACTCTGCAGCCTGCAGCAGGACAGAAACACAAAGTTCAACCTTCCCAAAGCTGGGAGAGGGCTGCACCAGCACACACCCTGCTCAAACACCAAGGCCAGCCCCAAGAAGCGTTACCAGACCAGCTACCAAAATTCACAGTGACCCCAGCACCACCAGCACCTGCAGATGGCCCAGGGAAGGAGTTTGGATGGGGCAGGACTTGGATTTCTCCTGTTCCAGCTGTGCCTGCCCAGGCTGCTCCAGAGGGGAGCACAGAGCCCTCATTAGTCACAAACTCAATTAAAACCCACCCAGGTAAAAAGGGCCTGGCTCAGTCTGAACCAAACACTGGGGGAAAATTCCTTCCTCTGTCAGCCCTGGCTGCCAACCAAGAGGATTTGGGGATATGAACACAGGCAGGGGAATAAATAATCTGCAGACCTTTAAAAACTGGGTTTGGCATTGGTCAACCCCCCAAAATCAGCACCAAGGATTCAAACCAGAGGCACAGTTCTGACGGACAAAATAGCACCGAGGAGGCTCTTTTACATCTCTGCTGGTGTGCCAGTCCTTTAGTATTCCGAGAATTTAATAATAATAACTTGTATTTATGAATCTAGGTGGAATAAAATAAGTCAAAATTGTTTTCACTTTAAAAAAAAGATAAATACTTTATCTAAACTATCAACAATACAAACTGGAGCTTTAAGCATTTCTTTTGCCTTTTTTTTTTGCCTTTTTTTCCTTTTTTTTTCTTTTTTTTTTTTTAGTCAGATTCACAGTAAATGTTTGCTCTGTTGTTTAGGTCTTTTTTTTTTATGGTTTTTATTTTGTCCAGTAGTAAGAGTAGAAACCCCTGCACAGGCCAGGTGAGCACCTTTCAGTGGAAGCCGAGTGAAGTTGGTCCACGTTGTCCTTGCATAGGTCACATTGGGTTGAGGTAGAAATCCTAGTTACCTGCACAACAGGAGGAGAGGAAGAGACTCATCTAAATAAAAGGCAAAAATCTGCTGTGTTGTTAGATGTGTCAATCATTCCTATATTGCTCCAAGACCTCCTCAGATGAAGCAAATCTTGACCCAATCCCAATTAGAGGAAAGGATGGATGTTCCAAGGGACGTGTGGGCCCCTCCAAATGCTGCAGTTTTTCAAGCTGTGGCTGTGTTGAACTCTGTCCTATAGGACTGAAATCAAGTGAGGGGAAAAGAGTAAAAAAGGTATAATCTCCCCTCAGTATTTCACCTTTTTATAGTAAAAGTTAATCTGCTTTGAGTTTTGTTATTATTGTGGGGGAGGGACATTATGAATCACAGAAAGGTTTGGGTTGGGAGGGACATTAAATCCCATCCAGTGCCGCCCCTGCCATGGCAGGGACACCTCCCACTGTCCCAGGCTGCTCCCAGCCCTGTCCAGCCTGGCCTTGGGCACTGCCAGGGATGCAGGGGCAGCCCCAGCTGCTCTGGGCACCCTGTGCCAGGGCCTGCCCACCCTGCCAGGGAACAATTCCTGATTGCCAAGATCCCATCCAGCCCTGCCCTCTGGCACTGGGAGCCATTGCCTGGCTCCTGTCCCTGCAGGCCTTGTCCCCAGTCCCTCTGCAGCTCTCCTGGAGCCCCTTCAGGCCCTGCCAGGGGCTCTCAGGTGTCCCTGGAGCCTTCTCTTGTCCAGCTGAGCACCCCCAGCTCTGCCAGCACAGAAGCAAAGCAGATTATTCCAGTCCCCAATTCCTGCTTCCAGCCCTGCTTCCCCAAGGACTGAGCACATCTGAACCCATTTCTGCTCTCACTGAAATCAAGGCACTGCTCCAATCCCTTGGCTTCAAGTCACAGGGTTGGGATCAGAACCACCTCTGGCACCATCAGTTCTGCTCCTGTGCTCCACAGCCCAGCTTTGACACCCAGCTATTTTTCTACCAGTCCCTTTTGTGCTTTGCCTCTTATTTTCAGTATTTTTCAGTGACAGGGACTGTCACAGCTGATGGATGCTACTCCAGCATGGTCTCAGTTCCAGGTAATTCCAACATGTCCTCACACACAGACCCTCCTCATCATCCCCATCTTCCTTCATCCCCATCCTCTCTCTGTTTGGGGTTTTCCATGCCCCCCTCTCTGCTGGCACACAAAGCCCTTCCTCAGCCTCCCTCTCCTGCAGGGAAGGACCTGGCAATACTTACGTGCCTCCCAAAAGCCTAACCAGGGGTTTGTGGTGTCTGAGGAGGAATTTGATGAGGAAAACACTACACACAATGCACAGAGGCTCTCTCAGGTGTGTTGTAATCGAGTTTTATAAGCAGCAAAGTGTGTTCAGCCACGTTTGTAGCTTTGGTACCAGTGGACAGCAACAACATCACAGACCTACAAGGAAAGCAGGGAGCCAGCTCTGGGGCTGGACACACTGGATGCACTTGGCAAGCACGAGTTGGTACAGCAGGATTGCCACAGAGTGTTTGCATGAACCACAGGACCCAGCTCTGTGGTGGTACAGTTTATTCTAGACAGTTCAAGAAATACCTGCTGCAGGAGAAATGCACACAGCCTCGGAACCCTCCTCTCCTCCAGCCTTTGTGGAGAGTGGAGCCCACTTCCCCCTGCACATTCCCTGTGCTCCCAGGGCTTGTGAGCAAAAATAAAACATCTGCTGGGGCTGTTCCTGCTGGCCCTGGCAGCAAGTCCAGCACAGGGAAGTGACAGGGGAGTCACAGCCCTTCTCTGCTACCTGTGGTTGTGTTTCCAGTGATGCAGGGGACACTGACTGCACTGCAGGCCCAGGGAATTTGCTCTCCAAGCAAAGCTGAAGGTTATAACCTAGAGATTGTTAACTTCATGATCATTTCGAGCAGCTGTTGTTGACTGGCAGTTTGTACTGACCACCACATTGTCACACAGAATCACAAAGAGGCACCTTTGGGCACCTCAATGCTACGGACAAGGACTGGTTTGGGATAAACAGGCTGTGCAAGAGGGGAGGGGGATCAGATGGTCAACACCCACTTCCAAAAACTGTATAAAACCACATGAAAAACAGACATTTCCTCCTGTTACTACCTCCAGAAAGAACATTTTCTCTACCTATGAAGAGACATCAGCCTGAACATAACCCTGAGCCAGAGCAGTTCCCCCTGTGAGCACTCCTTGTCGAGAAATCCTGACTCCCAGAACAGAGAGCACCAACACTTCCCATCCTCTGCCACCAGCTGAATTGCTCCCCACATTTTAGAGATTTCAATCCCCACATTTTAGAGATTTCAATCCCCACATTTTAGAGATTTCAATCCCCACAATTTAGGGATTTTCAATCCCCACAATTTAGGGATTTTCAATCCCCACATTTTAGAGATTTTCAATCCCCACATTTTAGAGATTTTCAATCCCCACGTTTTAGAGATTTTCAATCCCCACATTTTAGAGATTTCAATCCCCACATTTTAGAGATTTCAATCCCCACAATTTAGGGATTTTCAATCCCCACATTTTAGAGATTTTCAATCCCCACATTTTAGAGATTTTCAATCCCCACATTTTAGAGATTTTCAATCCCCACATTTTAGAGATTTTCAATCCCCACATTTTAGAGATTTTCAATCCCCACATTTTAGAGATTTCAATCCCCACATTTTAGAGATTTTCAATCCCCACATTTCAGAGATTCCTCTCCTCATTTCAGAGGTTTCTCTCCCCCATTTCAGAGGTTTCTCTCCCCCATTTCAGGGCACGTTTTCCCCGTTTCAGAGGTTCCTGTTTCACGGAGCCCGGCCCCGACCTCTCTCTCTCTGCAAAGGAAGAAGCGTCAAGTGAGCATCTCGCACGCAAACTCCTCTGGTTTTGAGTCTGGCCTTACCTTACAAAACAAGAACTGTTAGCTAAGCAAGCTCTTTATCGTGGCTTAACCCCCGAAAGGTGCGAAGCATAAGGAGGCTGCATGCCAAGGGTCACCCACATAGCGGCCGTGCCAGCGGCGTTGGGCTGCGGGAGCACGCGGGGCAGGGGCGGGTGGTGCACGGTAAAGGAGGGGCGGGAGGGTTTGTGCTGGAGAGAAGCCAGTTTGAGAGACAAAGAAGAGTTAGACTGGACAGGAGCAGAGCAGGAGGAGGAGGAGGAGGAGGAGGAGGAGGGCAGGAACGTCTCGCCAGGAGGGATGGAGGGCAGGTTCTGCAGGAGAGCAGGCTCGGAGTTAGAAGCGAGTAAAGGAGGAGGGGGAGGCAAGGACACGTTAGGAGGGGGTGGAGGGGGGTGGAAGACAGATTGCACTGGAGCTCTGTTGAGGTGCTGAGCAGGTCTAGTCTCACTAGATGTTACTAAATTAGAGGAAGAGGGTGGGAAGGATGAGGATGAGGTGCTGGCAACAGCCTGCAGAGGGTTTAAGCTTAGCACGGTGCTGCTAGAGACAGCACTGCTGCTGAAACTGGCTCCAAACTGATGAGGAGAGGAGGCAGAAGGCACCGCATGGTTAAAAATACCTGCAAACAGGAGAGAAAAACTCAGCTTCAACAGATGGCCTTTGTACAGTCTCAAGTGACAAGAGAAACAAAACAAAAAAAGGAAAAAAAAAAGAAAATAAACAAACAAACAAAAGCAAAATTATAATAAGTTACAGCCCCATACAAAAATGTGCAGCGTGAGAAGGCAGCAAGCAATGAGGAGATAATGGTGCAGGCCAGGAGGTACAAAAGGTTCCACTTACCTTTCCTACTGCCAACCTCTAAAGGCCACGAGGAAAAATGGTCAGACCCAAGAACTGTCACTTCTATACCACACAGGCAGAGTTTTGATGAGATTAGAAGTGATCTTTAGAGTTGCTTATCTGAAGACTCAAAGTGCTGCTCTTCCCTCCCCACCCTCCTGCTCCCCCACTTACAGGGCAGCAGAGGGGAGGTGTAATTCCAGCAAATCTACGTGCTGAGAGATGTGAGAGTTAGGATTTCCCGACATGGTGCCTGAATGATTATGGACAGGTCAGAAAAACTGCCCTAGACCCTTAGAGATGGCAGGTTCAGCCTATCTTCTGGTCCTGCCAGCTTGTCCCCGGTGTGGGCCACAGAAGCCAAGCCTGTGCAGAATCCCAGAAGTGCAAGGTGCATATGGCATTGCCCTTCCTGGCCAAGAAATGCTCTTCATGTCCATTCAAGGGCCAGAATGCTACAGAACTCCCAACACCAGCTCCTCTGATGTTCTGCTCCTCCTGGATCATGCTAAATCCATTCAAGGCCTAAACTCAACCTTTACTCAAGTTGACAAGTTAGAGATCCTTAACATGGTACCAGGACAAGTCAAATCTGTTACCTGCAGGCAGACCTAAGTTGGTTCCAACACAGCAACATCTGAACAAGCAAACATTATCAATCACAAAGTCTGGGTGTATTGTTTCATTAAGGTGGTACAACAAGCTCATCTAGCAGACAAAGCTCATGAGATTTCACTGTAGGGAACTGAAATCATCCTAGCAATTCCAAGAGAGAGAGAGAAAGAGAGAGAGGAGACTGGTTATGTGAGACAGATCTGCTTGGCATCCTGTAGAAATGAAAGGGTTTCACCCCTGGAGAGGCAGTGTCAGACTTTCCTTTAGGCCCTGTCTTATACCAGAGAAAGAGTTCTGCCTACCTCCAACTGTTCCACCTGTAACCCCAGGAGAGAAGTTCCCCATAGTGTGAGAATTAGTCAGTCTGGTTGCAGCTGATGACACGTGGACCAGACTGGCAGCAGCTGGCATTGAATTAAATAAGGACTGCAATACTGAGGAATTTGTCACCGAGTTGAGGTTTGCTTGCAAGGCCATGGGGCCGAGGGGGAACTGTGATCCAGTGGTCAGAGTGTTGAGGAAGGGATGGTGCGTCGGGACAGACGGCGCTGGGTTCCCTGCTGAGGAAACAGCAGTAGAAAGGCTTTTACCATTCAGAAGGCCACCAGACGAAACAGCAGCAGAAATGAAAAGGTTGTGGCCGTTTTTAAACTCCACGTCTCGGTCCCTTCCCTTGCCGACCTTCCCGTTGTGCTGCACTGAGTTTTTCTCCACAGCCCCCCCTGCTCGGGCGCTCAGCTCGCCCAGCTCCTTGCCCTTCACCCCCGGCCGGCTCAGCTCTTCTCCCTTGGTGCCCAGAGCTTCCAGCTGCCTCTTGTTCAGGAACAGGTTGGTGTCTGACACCCCCAGGTCCTTGCCTCGCTGCGAGGGGAAGCCCAGGGAGCAGTTGGAGCCATCCCCAGCTTTGTGAGGGAGAGCAGCGCCGTCCATGAAGCCGTGCAGGCCCAGCTCGGAGGACAGGCCCCCGTTGTAGCTGAAGCCATTGGGGGGGTTTGTGCCAGGGCTCAGCCCGTCCGAGGGCACTGCCAGGCTCTTCCTGGGGTGTCCTGGCACCTTGGTGTCCATGGGCAGCCCGTCCTCGGAGGGAGGCCTGAAGGCAAACAGGGAGTTCTGGCTCAGAGCTGACACGGCCTGCAAGGGGCTGTCGGTGGTTTTGGTCAGGTTGATGTCAGATATCGGTGAAAAAGTCGATTTCCATTTGCTGCTGTTCATGTTCTCGTTGCTTTGTGCTTGTTTCCTCCCCGATATGCTGCCACCTGATTGGGGGGGAAGATTTAGAAATGTCAATCAACAGCATTCACTCAATCTGCCCCTTGAGAACGGGGTTTTATAGAATCACAGAGTCCTTTAAGACCATCAAGTCCAATCATCAACCAGCACCACCACCATGCTTATCACTAAACCATGTCCCCAAGTGCCCCATCCATTGGTTTTTTGAACACTTCCAGGGGTGGGAACCCCACCACTGCCCTGGGCAGCCCCTTCCAATGTCTGACCATGCTTTTAGTGGAGGTCAGGCATTGAAATTAGAAATAACATAAGATATAAATAAATAACATATAATAATAAAAAATTCTCACAATATCCAATCTAAACCTCCCCTGGCACAGCTTGAGACCATTTTTCCCTGTCCTGTCCCTTGTTTCCTGGGAGCAGAGCCTCATTCCTCCTGGCTGTCCCCTCCTTTCAGGGAGCTGTAGAGAGTGAGGATACCCTGAGCCTCCTTTTCTCCAGGCTGAGCTCCCCCAGCTGCTCCTGGTGATTCAGACCCTTCACTGGGCAGCACCCACATTTTTTATCCTTCAAAACCCACTTTTTATCAGTCTGTAATTTTATTTCTGAACCAAAGGCAGAAATATTTGTGAAGTCACTTGAAAGTCCTTAAAATTCAGTTTAACACTGTAGAAAAGTCTGAGAACACTGATCTGTTTTTTCCCCCCTATATTTGTACTACAGATCCCTCCTCAAACCCTGAGTCAGTGAAAAAACTGGTCAGATCTTTGCTGACCTGTGACTACAGAAAGAAGTGACCCAAAATCTGGAATTAGCAGCCACCTGGCTTAATGATGATTAAGAATGACACTTGGTCCAGCAGCAGAAAGAAACTGTCAGCTTCACCCATCCCAGGCCCAGCCACTGCCACAAACAATTCCCATTCCTCACACGTACCATTTTCAACAGTCTTCTGTGGAGATTTGCTTTCCAATGATATTGTTGCAATTTTCCTCTCAATTCTAGTGGGAAAATAGAAAGGTTATTGCACCTATAGCACAAACCTTCTGTTGCACATTTCCCCTCACAATTTATACTCCTCATGATCAGGTCTCATCAGATGAGAGTATAAAAAAACAACTCAGTCCCACAGTTTTGTGTCACTAAAGGAATTTATAAGCATCCAAAACCCCACCACAAGCTTTAGGCAGAAGCTATTACAGAATTACTGCTCTTTGACAGGATTAGTGCACGTTCAGAGAACTTTGTTGTTTTCTTTCAAAACGAGAAGCAGAACCACATTACTATAGAGGTTATTTTTCTCAGAACCATAGAATGGTTTGGCTTGGGAGGGACTTTAAAGCCCACCCAGTGCCACCCCTGCCATGGCAGGGACACCTCCCACTGTCCCAGGCTGCTCCCAGCCCTGTCCAGCCTGGCCTTGGGCACTGCCAGGGATGCAGGGGCAGCCCCAGCTGCTTTGGGCACCCTGTGCCAGGGCCCTCCTGGGTTCTGCCATCCCTGGGCTGTGCCCTCTCCTGATTCCTGCTGGATTGAGGGGAGGAGAGAGGCAAACCAGGCTGGTTTGGGGGCTGCCAGCAGCACCTTCCTGGATTGGCAGAGCAAACAGAAACCCCACAGCTGCCAGGATGGGAAAATGAGCTGGGCAATGCAGGCCCCACTGGTCAAGGGGAATAAACCCCAGAATATCCCGAGCTGGATCCCACAGAGATCATCAGTGCAGCCCCATCCCTGCACAGGCACCCCAAGAACCCCACCCTGAGCAGCCCTGGGAGCTCCTGGAGCTGTGGCAGCCTTGGCACCATTCCCTGGGGAGCCTGGGCAGTGCCCAGCAGCCTCGGGGGGAAGAACCTTGCCCTGAGCTCCATGCCAAGGCCTGGCCCAGCTCCAGCCCTTGCTGGGCTCCTGTCCCTGTCCCAGAGCAGAGCTCAGCCCCTGCCCCTGTGCCTGCCCTGGGCAGGAGCTGCAGCCCCCAGGAGCCTCCCCTCATCTCCCCCATTTCTCAGTCATTTCTCCAAGGCCAGACCCTGCCAGCTTTGCAAACACAGCAGCAGCAACAGCAGCTTCCCACATTCTACTGCCTGAATACCTTCCCTGTTCCCAGCTTCAGCCACATCAGAGGTTTGGGATAATGGGTTGGGCCTTCAAGCAAGGAGAACAAAGAGGCTTTAAACACACCCCTCCTGCTGAGAGCAGTGTTATCAGCCCTGAAAGAAACCCTATCCTGAAACTGTGCCTGTGCATTCACCTGCTGCTATTGTGCTCATCCTCAGAGCCCTGCTCGTCATCCGATGTCAGGGGGGAGTAATGGACACCGTTGCTCTGAACGAGGGGCTTCTCTTTTTTCAGCACTGGGGGCTGGTCATTGTCCTGGTAAGGAACAGGAGAGTTCTTCAGGGAGTTTTCAGGAGAGGAAATGGCTGTTATTTCTAAGGGCTGGTTAATGTTATTGACCTGGGTGAAAAGGAAAGAAAGCAGTTACACATGAGAGTATGCTTGGAAAGGCATCTTATAAAGATTTGAATGCAGGTTTAACTTGCTCTGGGACATCCAACAGCTGCTGCTTTAGCACTGCTGCTGCTGTCTTCCACCTCCTGCATTAGAACCTGGGGTGAGAGCTTAAATCAACTTGGAAAAATAGCTAATTTTCATTCTTTGATTTCATGTTTGACATCAGAAATGACGACCTGGAATAAACCTTTTCTTCTCAAACTACACTGCAGGATCACATGCACACAACTCTCTAGCTGGCTTCATTAGCAAGAATGCCATATGCTTCTGGCACTCCTCTGCTGTTTAGTCAATCTTAGCTTAAACTATTTTCAAAATATTGAATCTACAGCCTCAAAACTCAACTTCACTGCAGAAACAAGCTCTTTGTCATGAGGGAAGAGATTATTTTTAATTTTTAATGCTCTGACAGCAAAGAGCTCTTTGAAGACATTCTGCTTATACACAAACTGTTCACCAACTTAGTGAAAATGAGAGGCAGGCAGGAATTGCTGCAAAGAGCCTTCATGGCAATTCCAGCTCCAGCCTGGAGCTTATCCCTTGTACAATCCTGTGATTCCTTCCCCCTCAGGGAAATCCCCAGAGCCTTGCCTTGCAGAGATTTACCATAGTCTTACCATACTCTTCCCATAGAGTTTAACCCCCTGGGTGAACAGAAAACACTTCCCCATGGGGTCTTGCCAACACTGATCCATCCCAGCTCCTTCCCCCATATGTCCCAACTTCCCCTGGTTTCTCCTTTCCCTGTTTCTCCTTGGTTGTGGTACCCCTGCTGGCCATCCCCATCTTCCCTGAAAGCCAAAGCCTTTGCCCTGCCCTTTGTGCCACCCCTGTGCCCTCTCCTCTTGTGCACAGAACATGGTTTGTCTTTTGTCTCTGGTTCCCCTTCAGTGTGCTGAAATAAACCTTGCTGGAACTGACCATATGTTATAGATACATATTATAATATTGGCTTTTCACGAATATTAAAATGAATTTTATATGTGTGATGTTAAAGTAAAATGAATTTTATATGTGTGATGTTATCTTTGTTATAAAGATATTGTTTTTATTTCTGTTATTAATTAAGCTTAGACATAATAGTGGAATAGCTGATGTAATTGTGCTGGTGTGAAAATGCCTGCTTGGATGGGATAACATCCAATGAATACAGGGTAACCTGCACAGATCTGCCAAGCATCAGCATCTGCTGTCTGAACAAAGTGTGGACCAAGGCCCAAAAACTGGACGTGATAAAGAAAAGGAACCAAAACCACAGCTAAGAAACATGCATGCTCTAAAAAGGCAGACCCAAGAAGGGACCACATAAAATAGTTCCTGGAATATGTAGACTAGTTTATGGATATTCATAAGGGTCTATGAATATGCAACAGGCTGATGTAAGGAAAAAGGTATTTAAGGGGGATCTCCCAATATCCCTGTAATAACCTTTGCTCCATGGGCCTTGTCTCCCATTGTCCTTGATTAAACTTCTGAAACTTTCACAGGAGAGTGAAGATGTTTTTCACAGGCTGAAAACCCTTCCTTTATTAAACTTCTGAAACTTTCACAGGAGAGTGAAGGTGTTTTTCACACCACACAAAAGGCCCTTCTGCCTCTCTTTGCTGAGCTTGCCATGCTGAGTGTGGTGTGTGTGGATTTTCCTGCCTTGCCTGAATGCTCACCCAAACAGCTTTGCCACAGGAGATGCTCCCTGGGGAACTATAGGAATGTGCCCCCTGTTGACAGAGTGACCAAACTCCCCTTAAAAAGGAAAGAAGCCCAGAAGTTTCTCTCCTCTATTAGGTGAAAATACACCTCATAGGACCTGGGGGACTTCACCTCAAACTTAAGGATAGCTAATTGCACAGGAGCCAAAAAGTCCTTCTCCAAAAAGAAACCAATGGCTTTTGTGAGGTGTTTTACCAAAGGCAAAGGGCCTCTGGCACCTGGCTCGGTTCTTCTCTGTAAAGAGTTTTGTTATTTTGCCTTTTATTAAAATCTTTTTGTTTCCAACATTACCACAGAAGCCATCCTACTGATTTTATGCCTTCTAAAGTAGCTGAGCTATCTTGGGTTTGAAATAGATCTCCAAGAGCTGATGAGACTCAAGGAGACCCCTATTTCAGGGAACAGGGAACAGCAACCACTCTCTAAACCAACACTTTTTGTTTCCAACATTACCACAGAAGCCATCCTAGTGATTTTATACCTTCTAAGATAGCTGAGCTATTTTTCAGGGATATCCCATATTTCAAGGAACAGGTAACAGCCACCACCCTCTAAATACTTCTTGTTTCCAAATCCTGTTGATTTTATACTTTCTAAGGTAGCTGAGCTATCTTGAATGTTAAACAGATCTCCAAGAGCTGATGAGACTCAAGGAGACCCCTATTTCAGGGAACAGGTATCAGCAACCACCCTCTAAACCAACACTTCTTGTTTCCAACACTACCACAAATCCTGTTGATTTTATGCCTTCTAAGGCAGCTGAGCTATCTTGGGTGTGAAATAAATCTGCAAGAGCTTATGAGACCTGGCTCGAGGAGACCCCTATTTCAGGGATATCCCATATTTCAGAGAACAGGTAACAGCCACCACCCTCTAAACACTTTTTGTTTCCAACACTACCACAGAAGCCATCCTACTGATTTTATGCCTTCTAAGCTAGCTGAGCTATCTTGGGGGAGAAATAAATCTGCAAGAGCTTATGAGACCTGGCTCGAGGAGACCCCTATTTCAGGGATATCCCATATTTCAGAGAACAGGTAACAGCCACCACCCTCTAAACACTTTTTGTTTCCAACACTACCACAGAAGCCATCCTGCTGATTTTATGCCTTCTAAGCTAGCTGAGCTATCTTGGGGGAGAAATAAATCTGCAAGAGCTTATGAGACCTGGCTCGAGGAGACCCCTATTTCAAGGAACAGGTAACACCCACCACCCTCTAAACCCACACTTTTTGTTTCCAACACTACCACAGAAGCCATTCTGTTGATTTTATACCTTCTAAGGTAGCTGAGCTATTTTTCAGGGATATCCCACATTTCAAGGAACAGGTTGCAGCCACCACCCAGGCTGCACTCCTCACTCCCAGAGCTCTCCCAAAGCCCAGCTGGTGGCCTTACCATGGAGTTGATGTTGAGGGGTGACCCCGAGGGCTGTGTGAAGAGCCCGGCCAGCGAGGGCAGGGCTTTGCGTTTCGGGGAGACGGCGCCGTTGCCGCTGGCACTGCCCGGGTTCGATCTCTTCCGCCGGCCCCGCTTCTTCCCGTCCTGCCCGTGGGCCTGGCAGCTGCCGGCCACGGGGCTGTGCTTGCTGCAAGGGGATTGTTTTACATGTCCTGTATTAGGAGAGATTGTAAAGATGATTCTCCTCTTGGCCTCGTTCTCGGGATCTGAAAAGGCTGCATCACACTGCGGGTCCCCCTTTGTTGCTTCGGCAAAGATCTTCTGAGCCTCTGCACTCTGCAGTCCCCCTGCCAGGCTCTGGGCCGGGCCACCTAAGCGGGGGCTCGAGTGCTGCTGAGCAGGGGAGTTCTGCCCAGAGTTCCTCATCATTAGCAAAGGATGTTGTGGAGTGGAACTCCGAGACCCTACAGAGTTAAAGAGACTCCCAGAGTCGTCCAGAGCTGCCTGATCAACACTATGGTTAAGATGGGCTGGGCTGTTTGTAAGATTTCCATTGACTGCCACGGAGCCAGAAGAGTAAGAAAAACCTGTTGAGAGGGAAAGTATAGATCATTGCTGGGGCTGAGCAAGAGAGGTCACTGAGAACAGGGCTGGGAGGGCCAGGAGGGATTCCAGCTCTGCCTGGATGACAGCCAGTGGCCCTGGATTACATGGAAAACACAGGGCTGCTTTTCCACGTGGCTCTCTGGGTGCTGAGGTGCCAGCTGGGGGTTAGGGACTTCCACTGCTCTCTTGCCAGTTCAGGAAAATTCACCTGGTATATGGAGGTACCCACAGAACACGTGCTCCTCCCAGTTTTACATGGAATTTGAGTTTAGCTTTGTTTGAACTATTACCCCTCTTGAAATCAGGGCTCCTCTACTCTCAACTCCTTCCTTTCATCAAGGAGATGGATGGCCAGACTCAGTCCTTCCCTTCCCCAAAAAGAGAAGGACTTTGCCATCCACACAGCCCAACCTCCTCCAAATTCAGCAAAAGGCTGGCATTTAGGGAGTGACAGGGGACCTTCAAAGACAGTGGCAGAAAAATTCCACAAGGGAGGAATCTTGGGAAGGGAATTCAGTGTTTGTCAGGGGTATCAGAAATGGGTTTAGGGCTCTAGGATGGCCTGGGATCTCTAAATGAAAAGGGCAGAAGGGAACAACATGGTAATGGTTTACAACAAGTTTTTTTTAAATACTTCATTTGCTTTATAGATAAATGCAGCCAAGCCCTTTGCAAAACAGATACTGAAACAACACAAGCCCCTGGGGGTGGTAAACACTGAGAACAAAAGCACTCTTTGGTGAGGGATCAGCTGTAGAACCTACTTTTCCTGGCCCATAACACTGCCAGGGTAGCTAAAGACCATGATTTCCACGGATGAGTGAGTCAGAAGCAATGTCTGCACCTAAAGGGATCCCCAGCCTCTCCCAGTTGAGCTTTTCCCACCCAGGTTTTTGTGCCTTTACAGCTGCTCACGAGGCACCTCCATAACCTGCCCCAAAAAATTCATTCTGCTATTTAAAGACCCTGTAAAATAAAACTTTTAGAGCTGGATCACCAGCTCAGGACACAGCTGTGTCACCAGCTGCAGACACTCTGCAGGTTTGCCACACTATAAATCAGTGGGAATCTCTGGATCCCCACAGAACTCACAGAAGCAATTGTTTATTTACAAGTAAAGGCACATCAATCCAACCCTTTGTGTTAGATGCACATCACAGCATCATCCATGAGTTTCTGCTCCCACCCACAGTTATCCAGCCCTCCAGGGCCTGCAGCACCTGGCCAGAAGTGCTTGGAAAACTCAGCTGGGTGCATTTGGGTGCTGCCCCAAGACAGGAGCAGCTGAGCACAGGTGAGGCTGTTACCTGAGGTAGCCAAAGCCAGAGGCTTGTTTCCAGCAGCATTGCTTATGCCATTATGAGAACTAGCACCAATCTGCTTTTCAAGTGTTGATGAGTCTCTGCTCTGGTGAACTGGGCTGGGTGTGCTTCTCTGGGGAGAGAAAAAGGCATTTCAGGAAACAGCATCAGAACTCTCCAGCTTCAACCAAACTCACATGCATTAGTACATCTGTACATCTGCCTGGGAAGTGACTCTGCTTCCTGTGTGTCCCAGATTCAGCTTGTTTTGAGAAAAACATGGATCAGCACGTTATGGCCCCAAAGTAGTGATTGATTATGCTGCAGTGGTATCTCACACACAGCAGGCACCATGCAGACAGGGAGGCTCCTCATCCCAGGATATTCAGCCTCAGGACAGCTCTGCCAGGAGCAGGAATGGCTCAACCCACTGCTGCAGCAGGGAGGAGACTGATGGTTGTATCCTGTCCCCAGCCTGTGCTCACAAAACTCCCAAAACAACCCAAAGGGAACATGAAGTGCATCAGGCCATGTTCTCTGGGATATTCTCTGTCAAAAGGCAGCCTGAACAAACAGGGAGGTGCCACCCAGGGCTGGCACTGCCCTGAGGACACCCAGAGCTGAGCAGACTCTGGTTCTGCTAAAGCCAGAAGTCTTCAGCTGGAAAAATGCAATGGGTTCAATTCTGTGAACCAGCTCTAGCTTTCCCAAAATGGGAGTGAAAGACAAGCCATGGATGGATTCTAACTCAGAGCTCTCAGCAAAAGCACCAAATGCTTCTCAGCTCTCTGCTGCAGCACTTCTGTGACAAAGGCTGTGAGAAACTGGACCAGGCCTTTTGGAACTGCTCCTCCTCTCAGAGAGGCAGGGACTTGTCACATCTCAAAAAGAAATGGCCCCAGCTTTCTGCTACAGAGCAGCCACTCCCATAGAGGTATCCCAGCCCCAAGGGGCTGCTCAAGCTCACCCTGCACACGGCAGCTTTGAGGTGACTGAGACAGAAGAATTCTCCCCCAGAAAGTTCCTGCAGAAAGCAGGGCTAAGAACAAATGGACACATGCATTTCTCTTCTTCCACTGCTACAAACCCTCAGGCTTTTCACCCAGACACACATTCCAGACTAGGCTCCCCTGAGGCATTCACTTTACTCTCCTTCCTGGCTGAACCTCCCTCCACCACCCCACAGAGAAAGGAGAGGAAAAATCTACAGCATCCAAGAGGATCATCCCCCAACAGCCACCCCTGAGGAGCAGCCCATGGAGGATCCTGGGGCACAGCACCCCATTCCTGCCCCCTGGGATTTGAATTTGATTTAGGGATGGAAAGTGTTGACAATCCCTTACTCACCACCTTCTCAACACGGCTAGGTAGGACTACGCTGGCCAGAGGGATACTAACAGGGAGTTTATTGGGCTGCACTGTGCTCAGAGGAATACTGATAGGGAGGCTGGTGATAGTTTCTCCATTACTCACAGAGCTTCTCTCTCTCAAAACCTGGAAAATCAAAAGAGAAAGCAAAGTTCTTACACAGGATATTGGAAAGGTTTTTAAGGTAATGATAACCTGCTTGTTTCTATGTGTGTGTCATTCCCCCATCCCTTTTTTTTAAAGAATTTTTTAAGGGATGACTACACCAGACAAGGAGCAGCTTGGGGCTCCTGGGACAGCAACATCCACAGCACAGAAATTTTCCCATTTGAATGGGTAAATTAAGGCCACTGCTGGCCCCCAGCATCAGGAAAAGGAAGCCTTAGGCAAGCTCATTTCCCTGTGTTTGGGTTAGAGCTCTGTGAAAAGCACTCAGATGTCAGATTTTGTATCTTGAGGCCCTCTGGAGCAGCCAGATGCATTTCCATGGCAACCTGCTACTGCAGGGCACCTGCTGCTCTGTGAGCCCCAATATGCTCCATGGCTGCACCAATTACATGGACCATCTTTTCTACTCTTTATTTTTATAACTATGAAAGAGCCTCCTTGCCCAGTTCAAGCAGACACATGCAGGATCAAACAGTGTTCCCACTGCATTACTGGAGCTCAGAAAGAAGCACATCTTTCTCTGCCTCTGACCAGCTCTGATTTATTGCATCACACCCACTGTATTTTGTATTATTTCCCATTCCAAGCTGGCCACAGAAAGCAGCATTCCTGCATTTTCCAGCCTGGCCAACCCTACATTTCCCAGGCCATTCCTGCATTTTCCAGCCTGCCCATTCCTGCATTTCCCAGGCCATTCCTGCATTTTCCAGCCTGCCCATTCCTGCATTTCCCAGGCCATTCCTGCATTTTCCAGCCTGGCTCACCCTGCATTTCCCAGGCAATTCCTGCATTATCCAGGCCATTCCTGCATTTTCCAGCCTGCCCATTCCTGCATTTTCCCAGGCAATTCCTGCATTTTCCAGCCTGGCCAAGCCTGCATTTTCCAGGCCATTCCTGCATTTCCAACCTGCCCATTCCTGCATTTCCCAGGCCATTCCTGCATTTTCCAGCCTGCCCATTCCTGCATTTCCCAGGCCATTCCTGCATTTCCCAGGCCATTCCTGCAATTCCCAGCCTGGCCAAGCCTGCATTTCCCAGCCTGGCCAAGCCTGCATTTCCCAGGCCATTCCTGCATTTCCCAGGCCATTCTTGCATTTCCCAGCCTGGCCATTCCTGCATTTCCCAGGCCATTCCTGCATTTCCCAGGCCATTCCTGCATTTCCCAGGCCATTCCTGTGTTTTGCAGCCTGCCCATTCCTGCATTTCCCAGGCCATTCCTGTGTTTTCCAACCTGCCCATTCCTGCATTTCCCAGGCCATTGCTGTGTTTTGCAGCCTGCCCATTCCTGCATTTCCCAGGCCATTCCTGCATTGTCCAACCTGCCCATTCCTGCATTTCCCAGGCCATTGCTGTGTTTTCCAGCTGCCCTTTGCTGCCCCAGGATCAGCCCAGAGCAGCAGCAGATCCTTTACCTTCTCTCCTGCACTGGGTAAGGCCGCGGGGGAGGAGGGCCGAGTTTCCTGAGGACTCAGCTTTATGCCATTTGCAATTCCAGGGCTTGGATATGTAAGGCCATTCTCTTTGACATGCTCAGCTCTGGAACAGAGATGTACAATTGTCAGGATGCAAAAGCCAGTGACAAGGAATTCCTGTCCCACACTCAATTCCTGTCCCACCTTTTTACCCCATTAGCTCTCACTGCTCGTTTTCATGAAACAAAACTCTTTAAAACAGATAAATCTCCAGTTTGAAAAATACTTTTTCCCAATCTAAATTACCAGTGCTACTAACACTACCTGTTGCAGTAAGGTAGAAAAATTATTAAGAAAGGTCTGCTCTCCTGGAATCAGTGGCAAAGCCAGCACTTTGCAAGTTCCCATGTGAAAGCAGTCCTGGTGTGAGCATTTTGTTAACATAACAATCTATTCCTGGGTGACAAACAACCAGAACCTGTATAAACTGTTTTTAGATAGAAAAATGAAAACTATCTCTCACAAACAACTTTCCCTGTGTGTACACACCAGGGGTTTGAATGACCAATACAGGGTAACAACTTGTTATTAACTAATAATAATTGGCAAGAAAACTACTAACCCAACTGGAGTCACATGAGGCCTGTATAAAACTGTATAAAAATGAATTATGTGAATAAATAAGTGTAAGAGCCTAAATGAGAGATGTGGGACTCCAGGCAGCTCTCTAAAATGCAGTTTATTCTACCTAAGAGGTTCCAGCAGTCCAGGGTGGTGGGTGACAGAGCTGTGCCCACAGCTGTGAGCTCCAGCTGCAGGCAGGCCTGGAGACCCTTTGGTTTTGGTTCCATTGCATTCTAGACTTTTCTTTTGGTTACAATGCATTCTAGACTTTGCTGAGCATCTTAATACAGCAGAACCAATCTATACCTTAACTATTATCCATAGCCTATCATAACTACTATAATTACCATATTCATGTTACTGTTCTCCAATCAGTTAAAGTCAGTACATTACAGTTTAATCTAGAAGTTGTTTTTCAGTTTTCTTGCAGTGGAAAATTCTGAGACTTTTTTTCTACTTGCAACGTTGCTGACTTGTTTGCCTGTGCTGTCTTTCTGCTTGGTAAAAACATCTTCTTGTTTGGGGTGGGTTTATCCTTTGCTCTAAGCCATAAAAACCCCTTCTAACACACCCTTTGCCTCCTTGATTATCCAGTAAAACTGGCTCAGCAATTCTTTTCTTCTATATCAAAACTTGCTTTCATTTCTATTCCTTCACCGGACTCTCCATTCAAAAATCTTTCTGCTAAGCATCTGTGAGACTTTCTTGTCAAACTTTCATCCTTCCCAACAAATAAGAGGCTTTTTCCACCATGAAGAACATGGAAGCCATGTGATTTATTCTGCTATCTACCCTCCCTCCCCACCTCTCTCTCACCTCTGGATCTCACTAGCTGTGGCTTTTCCATTGACTCCGTGGTCCTGATTCAAGTGTCGGCGCAGGGCGATTTTAGCAGGGGAGAATCTGGTGTAATCAGGGAGGGCCAGGCTGGTCACCTTGTCTGCCTTCTGCCTGCTGCTGTGGTTGGGGGTGCAGGGCACAATGTCTTGGTCCAGGTGGCAGTTGGGGTACTGGGGGGTGTTCTGCTTGGACGAGGGCCGGCTGAAGGCGTGCTGCAGCTCGTAGGGGGTGGCGTGGCCGTTCATGGACAGCTCGGGGCTCATGCCATTGATGTGGGGCATGGGGAACTTGGAGCACTCCAGTTCCAGCTGGAACCTGCCCTGCTCAGCCTCGGGCTCACGGCTCAGGTGGCTTTTGCTGTGCAGCTGCACTGGCAGGGGCTCCTCTGAGGGTGTGTAGGACTTGAGCTGCAGCAGCTCCTGCTGCCGCTGACTCTTCTCGAGTTCCACGATGCTGATCTTTAAATGAAGAGGAAAACAAAAATGAAAGACTACACTTAATAATTCTATTATTAAGTGTATAAATTCTATTATTTAATTATTAAGTAAATAAATTAATAATAATGAATAATAATAGTAATTCTATTATTAAGTGTATAAATTCTATTGTTTAATTATTAAGTAAATAAATTAATAATTCTATTATTAATAATAATAATTAATAATAATTCTATTATTAAGTGTATAAATTCTATTATTTTATTATTAAGTAAATAAATTAATACTTCTATTGTTAATAATAATGAATAATGATAGTAATTATATTATTAAGTGTATAAATTCTATTATTCTATTATTAAGTGTATACATTTGTAATTATATTATTAATAATAATGAATAATAATAATTCTATTATTAAATGTATAAATTCTATTATTTAATTATTAAGTAAATAAATTAAAAATTCTATTATTAATAATAATGAATAATAATAGTAATTCTATTATTAAGTGTATAAATTCTATTATTCTACTATTAAGTGTATACATTTGTAATTATATTATTAATAATAATGAATAATAATAATTCTATTATTAAGTGTATAAATTCCATTATTTTATTATTAAGTAAATAAATTAATAATTCTATTATTAATATTAATGAATAATAATAGTAATTCTATTATTAAGTGTATAAATTCTATTATTTCATTATTACGTAAATAAATTAATAATTCTATTATTAATAATAATGAATAATAATCGTAATTATATTATTAAGTGTATAAATTCTATTATTCTATTATTAAGTGTATAAATTCCATTATTTTATTATTAAGTAAATAAATTCATAATTCTATTATTAATAATGAATAATAATAGTAATTATATTTTTAAGTGTATAAATTCTATTATTCTATTATTAAGTGTATACATTTGTAATTATATTATTAATAATAATTAATAATAATAATTCTATTATTAAGTGTATAAATTCTATTATTTAATTATTAAGTAAATAAATTAATAATTCTATTATTAATAATAATGAATAATAATAGTAATTCTATTATTAAGTGTATAAATTCTATTATTCTATTATTAAGTGTATACATTTGTAATTATATTATTAATAATAATGAATAATAATAATTCTATTATTAAGTGTATAAATTCTATTATTCTATTATTAAGTAAATAAATTAATAATAATGAATAATAATAGTAATTCTATTATTAAGTGTATAAATTCTATTATTCTATTATTAAGTGTATACATTTGTCATTATATTATTAATAATAATTAATAATAATAATTCTATTATTAAGTGTATAAATTCTATTATTCTATTATTAAGTGTATAAATTCTATTATTTCATTATTAAGTAAATAAATTAATAATTCTATTATTAATAATAATGAATAATAATCGTAATTATATTATTAAGTGTATAAATTCTATTATTCTATTATTAAGTGTATACATTTGTCATTATATTATTAATAATAATTAATAATAATAATAATTCTATTATTAAGTGTATAAATTCTATTATTTAATTATTAAGTAAATAAATTAATAATAAATAATAATAGTAATTCTATTATTAAGTGTATAAATTCTATTATTCTATTATTAAGTGTATACATTTGTAATTATATTATTAATAATAATTAATAATAATAATTCTATTATTAAGTGTATAAATTCCATTATTTTATTATTAAGTAAATAAATTAATAATTCTATTATTAATAATGAATAATAATAGTAATTATATTTTTAAGTGTATAAATTCTATTATTCTATTATTAAGTGTATACATTTGTAATTATATTATTAATAATAATTAATAATAATAATTCTATTATTAAGTGTATAAATTCTATTATTTTTTTAAGTAAATAAATTAATAATTCTATTATTAATAATAATGAATAATAATAGTAATTATATTATTAAGTGTATAAATTCTAATATTCTATTATTAAGTGTATAAATTAATGATTCTATTATTAATAATAATTAATAATAATTCTATTATTAAGTGTATACATTCTATTATGTTATTATTAAGTAAATAAATTAATAATTCTATTATTAATAATAATGAATAATAATAGTAATTCTATTTTTAAGTGTATAAATTCTATTATTTAATTATTAAGTAAATAAATTAATAATTCTATTATTAATAATAATGAATAATAATAGTAATTCTACTATTAAGTGTATACATTCTATTATTCTATTATTAAGTGTATAAATTCTATTATTCTATTATTAAGTAAATAAATTAATAATTCTATTATTAATAATAATGAATAATAATAGTAATTCTATTATTAAGTGTATAAATTCTATTATTCTATTATTAAGTGTATACATTTGTCATTATATAATTAATAATAATTAATAATAATAATTCTATTATTAAGTGTATAAATTCTATTACTTTATCAAAACTCCACATTATGGAGTTTTGCTTCCAAATTCTTCTAAGTAAAAGTGTCTCTGCTTCTGGGAACAATGCAAAACAAGGGACTCGAAATTTGAGAGAAAATTTCTGCTCTGAGCTTAAGACCAAAAGGCCCAAGTGAAGGGAGTGGTTCAGAGACCCTGAGAAAGAACACTTCAGATCTTAAAACCAAAAGGAAAATATCTCCAACTTACAGAGAGACTGTGGGTACCTCTGCATCCAGCAAAAGGCTGGAATAGCTCTGGAGCCAATCTCACACAAAGGAGTTCAATTTCTTGTCACTATGAGAAATGTCACTCTGGGGGAAATGATTCCCACCCTGTCCCTGGAAGTGTCCAAGGCCAGGTTGGATGGGCTTGGAGGAACCTGGAATGGTGGAAGGTGTCCCTGCACATGGCAGGGGTGGAATGAGATGAGCTTTAAGGTCTCTTCCAAGCCAAACCAGTCTGGGACTCTGTGATTTCTGAGCTGAGACATCAGAGCACATATGAAAATCATCAGCTTGTGATTTTTAATTTTATGTAATGATAAGCCATGAGTCCTCCTTCCACAGCATCACCAAGGAATCAGGTCATGGTACCTCCTGCTTTTACAAGTTATCCACATGCTTATTTACTAAAATCCTCTAATAGAAAGCTCAATCTCTGGGGCAATAAAAAAAGAATAAACAAAAAAGCAGCACCTGGCTCATCCTTTCCCACCATATTTAGTGTAACACCCATAACTGGCCTATTGCCCAAGAGCTACCCCAAGCTGGTGACTCTGCATTTGTTTCTTGCTCTCTACCTGCAGTTCCAAACAGTGCTTCTGCTTCTCAGAAATCTGATTCTTCAAGGCCTGCTTCTCTTTCAGCAAGTTCTCCAGTGACAGCGTTGACCAATCCAGCTTCAGCTCTTCACAGCGAGCCTTCAGCTGCAGGGACACACAGGGACAGGGACAAAGAGGTCAGAACAGGGACAGGGACAAAGAGGCCAGAACAGAGCTCTCACCCTGCACACCTGGGCTCCCAGCTAAAGCAGGAACTTTGCACTGAATGTGCAAAAAGCCCTTAACTCATTGAAAACTCCTCCCAGTTTCATGCTAGGGAGTGTGGCACTTTCTAAAACAGTGTTATCACCCACCCTCAGTGCTTCCACATCCAGATATTCCCCTCATCTACCTCCTGAGGAGGCTGAGCCTGGAGCAAAGGGGGCTCAGGGGGGCCCTTGTGGCTCTGCACAGCTCCTGACAGGAGGGGACAGCCAGGGGGGCAGGCTCTGCTCCAGGGAACAGGGACAGGAGCAGAGGGAACGGCCTCAGGCTGGGCCAGGGCAGGTTTAGATGGGTAAAATTTCCTCACTGAAGGGTGGTCAGGAACTGGCACAGGTTGCCAGAGCAGTACCCACCCCTGGCAGTGCTCAAACAACAAGTGGCTGTGACACTTGAGGACCTGGTGTTTTGGTGCCCATGGTGCTGCTCCTTGATGGTTGGACCCGAAGATCTTACAGGTTTTTTCCCACATTACCAGTTCCATGATTCTCTAAGTTTGAGTTACCAAGATGAGCACCACAGAGCAAGCACAAACTCCCTGCCCAGCCAGACCCAGACCCAGTGACATCCAGAGCTGTTTGGGGACACAGCTGAGCCAGCTGCCACCTCAGGATCTGCTATGGGGTCAATCAAAGGTGAAACAGGACTCCTGCAGGTTTCCCCCTTCATCCCTGAGCAGCTGGGTGATGTTTCACCCCCAGCTTGTGCCCTGTCCTCAGCCCAAGGGCAGCATCCCCTGGACCCACCAGCTGCAAGCTCTGGTTCCTGAGTTCACTGTTGTCCTTCTCCAGCTGTTTTGTCTGTTCTTTCAGCTGCTGGTTGTGAGCAGAGATTTCCTTCTGAGCCTGGATCAGGTCGTTGTACGTCAGAGCTTTAACTCCCAGCTGAAAGGTGAAGGGTGAGATCAGTCCCTGAGGCCCTGACAATCATTCCTGGGGTCCTGACACCCTCATTCCCAGGGTCCTGACACCCTCATTCCTGGGGTCCTGACACCCTCATTCCTGGGGTCCTGACACCCTCATTCCTGGGTCCTGACACCCTCATTCCTGGGGTCCTGACACCCTCATTCCTGGGGTCCTGACACCCTCATTCCTGGGGTCCTGACACCCTCATTCCTGGGGTCCTGACACCCTCATTCCTGGGTCCTGACACCCTCATTCCTGAGGCCCTGACACCCTCATTCCTGGGTCCTGACACCCTCATTCCTGAGGCCCTGACACCCTCATTCCTGGGGTCCTGACACCCTCATTCCTGGGGTCCTGACACCCTCATTCCCGGGGTCCTGACACCCTCATTCCTGGGGTCCTGAACCCTCATTCCTGGGTCCTGACACCCTCATTCCCAGGGTCCTGACACCCTCATTCCTGGGGTCCTGACACCCTCATTCCTGGGGTCCTGAACCCTCATTCCTGGGTCCTGACACCCTCATTCCCAGGGTCCTGACACCCTCATTCCCGGGGTCCTGACACCCTCATTCCTGGGGTCCTGACACCCTCATTCCTGGGTCCTGACACCCTCATTCCTGGGGTCCTGACACCCTCATTCCCAGGGTCCTGACACCCTCATTCCCGGGGTCCTGACACCCTCATTCCTGGGTCCTGACACCCTCATTCCTGGTGACTGTCCCATTCCCAAGTGACACTGAGGAGATCTGCAGCTCTCAGGACCACTCCCAGCATTCCCCAAAGCACTTTGTGGCTGCTGGGGGATAACAAGGAGGGACTCAAGGACCTTGGAGCTGCTGTTCCACCCCTTCACCTGTAAAACTGGCATTTAGGCTTTGCCAGCCAGCAGAACTGTCTGTGGGCAGCCCCCACATTTTCCTCCTGTGCTCCTGAGCTGGGTTGGCAGCACAGAACCTTGTTTGAGCAGCAGAGGGTGAATCCTCCACCAAACACCAGCTGGCTGTGAGTTGTCCCCTTGCTTGGGCAGCGGGCACACAACAATTCCAACAACAAACAGAAAACTTCACCAGAGAGTGACACACATTGCACCTTTCTGAGCCTGATCTGCTGCAAAGCAGGGGCTGAAGAGCTGAGACTGCTCTGCTCTCACTTAGCTGGACCAGAAAAGTTTGCAAGCAGCTGATTCAGACACATTCCCCCAGCACAGAGGTACCTCATCGAGCTTCTGCTGGAACAGACGTTTGATTTCCTCCTTCTGGGCCTGGCAGTGGGTGAACAACTGCTGGGCTGTCCCCAGCAGCTGAGCATTCTTCTCCTGGAACAGGGAAAAAACACACTTGGAGCACCAGCTGCAGCATGGGCCATCTCAAGGAGGTTTGTGGAGCACTTTAGGAGAGAACCTGGATGCAGGAGAGCTCATCCAGCCCTGCCCCAGCCTCCTGAGAACATGGATTTGTTGGGTGTGATACTGGTGGGGTTAAGTCAGCTGTAAAGAGTCTTTAAGTAGTAAATTTCTGACTAAATTTAGGTAGGTTTTAGGTAGTAAAGAGCTTTTAAGCAGTAAATTTCTGACTAAATTTAAGCAGGTTTTTCATCCTGTATGGTAAAATATAATCAAGACAGTCTTAGAAACTCATTTTTATCTTCCCAGTGCATCATGAAGCAGCAGCAATAATCACATCCCACAGAGCAGAAATAGAACTGGAAAAGATTATCTACATGAAATCTGCTCCCAAACAGAGAACTGGCTCTAAATCCCCAGAGCCCCAGCTCAGAGTTTCCCTGTGCAATGGAAGAGATGCAGTAAATGAAGATACACTGTGGGGGGAGGCAGGAACAAAGTCCTAAATAAGCCAAACCAGTTTTCCTACTTGTGCCACCATTATTTTTATATATATATATAATATTATATATATTTATTTATATAATATTAATATTAATATATTTATATGTATATATAATTATATAATATTTAATTTTTATATATATATATATATATATATGTATGTATGTATATATACACACACACTTTTATATTATATACTTATGCCACCATTATTTCAGCAGGTCACCTGAGCCACTCACAGCAATTCCCTGCCCTGAACATTCCTTAACCAGGCCCCTGCTCCCTCAATCCATGGCCATGCACAGCAAAGAGCAGGACAGGCCAGGCTGAAGAGCCTCATTTACCCAGCCCCAAATGCAGGATTAGTGCAGCTTTGGAGCTTTGGGATTATCCTGCTCTCCACCTTGTGCTGCTGAGGCCAAGCAGGGATTGCACAGACTGAGCCACTGCTCCAGGAAAAGTGGGGAACAGGGGCAAAAAGCACCTTAATCCTTTCCAACCTGAATAATTCCATGGCTGATATTCTAAGCAAGGAAGCAGCAGTGCTGGAAATTCCCCACATGCAGGAACACACAGACCTGGCTGGGGGAAAAGTCCCTGCAATGCTAAAGGGGCTGCTCTGGGGGATGCTGGAAAATCAGTTTTGTTTTCAACATGAGGCATTTCCTTCAGCCTTCCCAGGCACTGCAGGGGCTGACAGCTCCATCTAAGGGCACTCTGGGAAGCAGCAGCTGATTTCAAAATCATTGTTAGAGAGGGGTTGTTACTGTACTTGAAAACCTTCCTGTAAGAGGGAGTTACTGAACAGACCATACCAGCCCCTCACCCAGCCAAGTTCTGCCTCTGTCAGGTTTAATTTACCATGTAACACTCCATAAAAAAATATTTTCATACTGAATTCCTCATTTTAACGTTTAAAAGTGTGGAGCAGCTGTTGGACAGCAGCACCAAGTGATGACTTTTCCACACCCCTGACTCATTCTCTGTGCAGGGCACAACCCTTGCACACCATCATTTCATTTGTGCACGAGACAAGTGCACTTCATGCTGACTTTCCTGACAAGTGCAGAACAAGCAGAAAAATCTGCTGCTTAAGGAGAAAGATGAAAGTTCTAAGTGCTGATTGACTGTGAAAGCAAATGGAAATAACCACAGAAAAAGAGGTTTCCATGAACACCAGAGCAGCACCAACCACTTCTCAGGAAGGAACGGGGTGGCAAAAGTTAATTTCTCTCCTCTGGAGAGTTCCCAATGTGGAAAACACGATACAAAAGCCCTGTGGCTTTTTTCTGACACTCTCACAAAGACTACAGAGTAAGGAAAGCTTCCACAGGGAATGCCAAAAGCTGGACCTGGACAGAATTCCAGACTGCTTTGGGTTGGGAGGGACCTCAAAGCTCATCCACCTTTACCATGGCAGGGACACCTCCCACTGTCCCAGGTGCTCCCAGCCCTGTCCAGCCTGGCCTTGGGCACTGCCAGGGATGCAGGGGCAGCCCCAGCTGCTCTTGGAAACCCATTCCAGGGATGGATTCCACAATTCCTGATTGCCAAAATCCCATCCAGCCCTGCCCTCTGGCACTGGGAGCCATTGCCTGGCTCCTGTCCCTCCAGACCTTGTCCCCAGGCCCTCCCCAGCTCTCCTGGAGCCCCTTCAGGCCCTGGAAGGTTTTAAGTGGAAGTTCAAGCTTAATTCTGAGCATTATGGGGAAAGCTCCTCCACAGCAGCAGCAGAACAGACTCATCAGGGCTAATTGATAAGCAATGAAATCATTGATCACTGAGACAAAGCAAGACAAGGAGGAGTTCAGGCAGGAGATCTCCTCCCTCTGCTGGTGGCTCCATGGCAGACAAACACCCCAGTGCACAGCCCCTGGACCCTCTCTGCCTTTCCACCTTTCCCAGTCCATGATTTGGGACATTTACACTTTGCCCATCAGTGCAATCCAACCCATTCTGATATCAATGCCAAGGATGCTGTGCTAAATCCCCACAAGCAGTGATGACACTTTGGGTTTCTTAATCCAAGTTCAATGGTTCTTTAATCCATAATTCTATGGACTGTGGTTCATAAAATCCTGGAATTGGTTTGGGTTGGGAGAGACCATCCCTGGCAGTGCCCAAGGCCAGGCTGGACAGGGCTGGGAGCAGCCTGGGACAGTGGGAGGTGTCCCTGCCATGGCAGGGGTGGCACTGGGTGGGCTTTGAGGTCTCTCCCAACCCAAACCCTTACAGGATCCTCTGATTCTAAGTCAGCACTGTCAGGGAACAGGGGAGGTGCAGCTCTCCCATTTTTCTGTGATTTAAACACAAAAAAAAAGAGTTTAGCAACAAAAACCCCCTGGCAGTTGCTCATCCTAAGCAGGACTGGTGTAAATGCACACAATTCCCATCTCCAGCACTTTCCCCACATCCAAGGAACTTCAGAGTCTGGTAATTTTGTTTAGAAATGTGAACAAGTGAGACCCACCTTTTCCTGCTCCAGTAACTGTTGCAGGCTTGCTTTGTACTGAGGAGTTTTCATGTATGCCATGAACTGCATGTACTGGATCTTAAATGAGTCTGCAAAATAAATCAGATGAGGAATTTCAGCAGGGGTAAATGCCATGCCCCTGTTTGCCCCCATTTCCCCTCTGGCCACCTCTTCTCATTTATCTCTACCTTGCTTTTGAAATGGACCCAAAGTCAGAATAAGCAATTAAAAATGGAAATAAAATAATAAATAAAAATAAATAGATAAAATAAATCAGATGAGGAATTTCAGCAAGGTAAATGCCATGCCCCTGTTTGCCCCTATTTCCCCTCTGGCCACCTCTTCTCATTTGTCTCTCCCTTGCTTTTGAAATGGACTCAAAGTCAGACTAAGCAATTAAAAATGGAAATAAAGTAATAAATAGAAAAAAAAAATGAAATAAATCAGATGAGGAATTTCAGCAAGGTAAATGCCATGCTGTCCCCAGTTTGTCCCCAGTTCCCCTCTGGCCACCTCTCCTCACTCGTCTGTCTCCTCACTTTCAATTTGGACTCAAAGTCAGGCTTAGCCATTAAAAATGGGAATAAAATAAGTAGATAAAAATAAATCAGATGGGGAATTTCAGCAGGATAAATGCCATGCCCCTGTTCACCCCTATTTCCTCCCTGGCCACCTCTCCTCATTTGTCTCTCCCTTGCTTTTGATTTGGACTAAAATCAGACCAAGCAATTAAAAATGGAAATAAAGTAATAAATAGAAAAAAAAAGAAATAAATCAGATGAGGAATTTCAGCAAGGTAAATGCCATGCCCCTGTCCACCCCTATTTCCCCTCTGGCCACCTCTCCTCACTTGTCGCTCCCTTGCTTTTGATTTGGGCTTGAAATCCATTGAGGATGGAAAATGGAAGATGGAAATAAAATAATGAATAAAAATAAATAGATAAAATAAAAATAAAATAAAAAAGATGAGGGATTTTAGCAGGGGTAAATGCCATGCTTCTGTCCACCCTATTTCCCCCTGGCCAGTTGTCTCCTCACTTCTCTCTCCCTTGCTTTTGATTTGGACTCTAAGTCAGACAAAGCCACTGAGGATGGATTTAGGAACATGCTGAAAATGCCTCTCCTGTAACAAAAGGAACTCTTGGATCCATCAGGTCCCATGGAAACCATGACCCCATCCACCCTGCCTCAAAACATTCCACAAAATCACTGCTTTGCCACAAAATATCCCTCAAAAATCACTTTTGCCACAAAATATCCCTCAAAATTAATCATTGGCCACAAAATATACCTCAAAATCATTCCTTTTTGCCAAAATATCCCTCAAAAATCACTTTTGCCACAAAATATCCCTCAAAAATCACTCTTTGGCCACAAAATAGCCCTCAAAATCACTCTTTGGCCAAAATAGCCTTTAAAGTCACTCTTTTGCCACAAATTATCCCTCAAGAATCATTATTATTTGCCACAAAATACCCCTCAAAATCACTTTTGACACAAAATATCTCTGAAAAATTTCTTTTCCCACAAAATAACCCTTCAAAAAAAAAAAAATCATTCTTTTGCCACAAAATATCCCTAAAAAAAAAAAAATCGCTCTTTTGCCACAAAATAACCCTTCAAAAAATCACTTTTACCACATAATATTCATCAAAATTACTCTTTTGCCACAAAATATCCCTCAAAAATCACTCTTTTGTCACAAAATAACCCTTCAAAAAAAAAAAATCACTATTTTGCCACAAAATATCCCTCAAAATTCACTCTTTTGCCACAAAATAACCCTTCAAAAAAAATTACCCTTTGGCCACAAAACATCCCTCAAAATCACTTTTTTGCCACAAAATATCCCAAAAAATATCCCTCAAAAAAAGATATCACTCCTTTTGCAACAAAATATCTCTCAAAATCACTTTTTTGCCACAAAATATCCCTTTAAATGCCTCTTTCTCTCTCTTCCACCAGGAATCAGCCATGACTGGCACAACCTCAGGGAGCCCAAGGTAAGGACGTGTCTGGACCCTTGGTCCCCCCCTGTGCCACATCCCCAGGGCAGCCTGGGCTGGCCCCTGGCAATGCCAAAAGCCAGGAACAGCTGGGAGGGGACAGGAGGAGAAGATCAAACCAAAAAAGGCTCCAGGTTTGTCTTTCATCACCTCCTGCATTTTCCAACCACACCTTTGTGAGCTCAGCCTCTCACACGGGGCCTCGTTTATGGGCCCTGGGCTCAGCAGAGGAACTGGAATGGGGTCACCAGGATATTTTATGAAAAATCCCTTTCCCAGGGTTTTTCTCCTGAGAAGCTTCAGCTTCCCCATGTTTGATTCCTCTAGAATAAAACCTGGAAGTTGTTTATCCAAACATGTGGATTGTTTTTAATTAATGGCTAATCACAGCTACCTGTGTCAGACTCTGATTCTGTCATAGGTTTTTATTATTCCTCTTGTCAAGCTTTCTGATATTTCCTTTCTCTTTCTTTAGCATAGTTTTAATATATTGTTTTCATATTATAATGTCATATCATATGATGTAATATGATATACTATATTACATACTATGATATATGATATACTAGTATATGACATAATATAACATATGACATAATAACATAATATATGACATAATATATCATATTATATCATAAAATATCATATAATATCACATAATATAATGAGATGATGGTGCTATTATATGATATCATATGATATATCATAATGTAATAAATATAACATAATATATTATAATATTGTATCATATAATATTTTATCATATAATATTCTCTCATATAATTTATATAATGTAGTATATCATGTAATGATATAATGTGATATAATGTGATAAAATGCGATATTATATTATACTATATTATACTATATTATACTATATTATACTATATTATACTATATTATGTTATATTATACTATATTATATTATGTTATATATTATATTATATTATATTATATTATATTATATTATATTATATTATATTATATTATATTATATTATATATTTTTTTTCTGAAAACTTGAAATTAATTCTCATTTTTCACCTTGTCTTGAAAACCCTCACAACACCACAACAGAGTGGTGTTCCCCAGGTTTAAGAGCATGGGTTTATTTCAAATAAAGCTATTTCTGACTAAATCCAGGCTCACTGCCTGTTGTGCCAAAGGAGAACTGAAACAACATCAGAGAATAAGTGCAGAGTGAAACACCAGCTTCAGCAGGAGGGGGGACTTGTGGTGCTGCCCAAGGATGTGCCTCAGATTCTGAGTTGTTGCTGGAATGGTTCTTGAGGTATCAAAAGTCTTTTTTCTTAGCTTCATGCTCGAAAAAGAAGTTGGGATTCTTCAGTTCTGGTTCTCAAGGCTGTTTATTTTTTTTAAACTTTTCCATTCTTTCTCTGACCTGCTGAGATCTGTCCCGCAGGTTGGGCTGTGGCACAGCCACTGCCCTTGAGGTGGTGTTAACATTTTTTACTACAAACTACCTGTACTTTATTTACAATAAATTTCCAATACCTATCACCTATGTTAGACAGTCTGTCTCTACTCTAAACCAACCCAGAAGTGTCACCATCACAGCAGAAGATGGGGGGCAAGAAGAAGAAGGAGAAGAAGGAGGAGAAGGAGGAGAAGGAGGAGAAGGAGGAGAAGGAGGAGGAGAAGAAGGAGGAGAAGAAGGAGGAGAAAGAGGGACAGGACATGTCCAGATTCTTCTATCTTGCTTCTTTAAAAAACTCCAAAATTCTACATTTTCACTTGGTAATAAATTACCTATCATTCTGTTTAAACTCTTGTAGCTTGTAACTCTTCACACAAAGTTGGTAATTGTTTCCATGGGCTAAAATCAAAGGCACAGGTGTTTGTGACTCTGTGCCAAGGTCTCTGAGCTCCCTGCCAGGGTCTCGAGTCCTCCAGGGCAGCCAGAGCAATGTCCTGGGTTCTGACAGATGGGGCAGGCAGGGGAAGGTGGGGAGGAGAGAATCCCCCTCCTGCCCCATAAAAAAACCCCAAAGGGGGGTGGGCAGGCCTTACCTAGCAGCTTCTGTAGTGCAGGGGGGGTGGGTGTCACCAGGAGCTGGTTGGACGAATGCCGTTGCACTTTAGGAGGTAGTTGGAAAAATGGGCTATGAGGTGACTTGTAGGCATCTGGAGAGACACAAACACAACCTCAGGTCAGCACTCAGTGTTTGGGACAAGGACAGGAGCTTTGCCACTGAAAACATGGCACAGAATCCTGAAAACATGGCACAGAATCCTGAAAATATGGCACAGAATCCTGGAATTGGTTTGGGTTGGGAGGGACCATCCCTGGCAGTGTCCAAGGCTGGCTTGGACAGGGCTGGGAGCAGCCTGGGATGGTGGAAGGTGTCCCTGCCATGGCAGGGTGGCATTGGATGGGCTCTGAGGTCTCTTCCAACCCAAACCATCGTGGGATTCTGTGATTTTAAGTTCAGCATTGCCAGGTGGGGCACAGACAGGGATTTGTAATGAGATCCAGCAGCTTAGTCCATCACCACAAAGCTCCAAAGATGTCCACACATTGTTCCAAAGTGCTTGGAAGGGTCTCTGTGATCCATCCTAAGAGCAGCAGCTCAGAGAAGGCAACAGCCCCAGCTCCTGGCTGAGTACCCACAGACAGATCCCACCCCCGGCCCCATTAATGCATTAATCACCATCAATCACCATGAATCCCACCCCCAAACCATCAGAACATGAATGCCACCACCATTAACACATTAATCACCATCAATTCATTAATCCCCCCACATCCCCATTAACACATCCATCACCATCAACCCCACCACCATCACCTCAAGGGCAGCTCTGCTCTGGTGACAGCAGGGAAATTATGCCACAAAACCCAACCTGGCAACAAAGGACAAACCAGCACATCCAGAGCTTCAGAGACTGCTCCAGGCTCTTGCACAGCCCTGCACTCACCCTGAGGAGAGGATGAAGATGTCTGGGAGACAGTCTGAGCATGCAGAATTTCTAGTGCAGTTTGGTTCTTCTTGGTCTTGCGCTCAGTGCTCGCCGTGTTCATTTTCTTGGGGCGCCCTCGTTTCCTCCCTGCCATTTTCCTGCCCTTCTTACTCAGCTTCTTCTTCCTGGCCTTGGAGGGAGATGGCTTTTTAACAGAATTTGCTGCAGCTTTTTCTTCTTCAGCACCAGAATCCTGAGAGATTTTGAAAAAATTTGGTCATTTCTACCTCCATGTGCAGAATTCCTATTCAACAAACATTAATAATGGTGTTTCGTTTCTATCAATGAAATACATTTCTGATATTTTTTATATATATATATATGATATATCATATCAGATATAATGGTGTTTCATTTCTATCAATGAAATACATTTCTGATATTATATATATATATATGATATATCACATCAGAAAAAATGGTGTTTCATTTCTATCAATGAAATACATTTCTGATATTTTATATATATATATATATGATATATCATATCAGATATAATGGTGTTTCATTTCTATCAATGAAATACATTTCTGTTATTATATATATATAGATATATATGATATATCATATCAGAAAAAAAATTTTCATTATTATTAATGAAATCTATTTCTGATATTATGTATAAATATATATGATATATCATATTTCTTATTGAAATCTATCTCTGATATGATATATACATAATATATCAGAAAAAAATGGTGTTTCATTATTGTTATTGAAATCTATTTCTGATATGATATATAAATGATATATCAGAAATAATGGTGCTTCATTTCTATCAATGAAATACATTTCTGATATGATATATATTTATATATATGTGTATATATGATATATCAGAAATAATGGTGTTTCATTTCTATCAATGAAATCTGTTTCTGATATTATATGTATGTGATATATCATATCAGAAACAATGGGGTTTCATTATTATTATTGAAGTCTATTTATGATATGATATATAAAGGATATATCATATCAGAAATAATGGTGTTCCATTTTTATTAATGGAATATATTCTGATATTTTTATATATATATTATATATCATATCAGAAATAATGTTTCTGAAAGGAAACTGAGGCACTGTAGTTCAATAACGTGCCAGGGAAGTGGACTTGCTTGGGATAAGAGTTGTTCCCAAGGGGTTGTGCTCATTCTCTTCTGGACTCATTCATTGTGGGAAATGGATTTGTAGAAAATTTTTTAATTTTCACAGTTTGTTACAGTTTGTGACAGTTAAATTTTGACAATTTTTAAAGTTTGACAGAAGGCTTACATAGTGTGTATCTCTATGTAAATTTTGACATAAGAAATACTGACTTAGAAATGCCATGGAATAAGACAGACATTGTTCAGAGAGAAATGGAACTAGAAACAAGTTTTAAAAGGTAGCTTTACAAAAAAGACTAAATACTTTTGAGTAATTAAACTATGAAAGATGCATTGTAGTGGGACCAATGAGGGGTAATTTTAGATGTTTGGCTTTAAGGCATTTACAGCATGGTGTGGCTAAAGCTGATTGGCCAAGACATGCTTATAAATGTATTGAAATTAGGAAAAAGTTAACTTCTGATTGTGATGGTGTGAATTAGAACATCTGTATTGTCTCACCCTTCACATGAGACTAAAAATAGAATAAGTTTTTAAAGCACCTCTCAGTTGCCCCATCTCTATGTCAGAAAAAAAAATCTATTCCAAGAAATCATTAAAGAAAAGAAAATGCTGAGGGAGGGGAACTTCAGGCAGGGCTGGATGGGATCTTGGCAATCAGGAATTGTTCCCTGGCAGGGTGGGCAGGCCCTGGCCCAGGGTGCCCAGAGCAGCTGGGGCTGCCCCTGCATCCCTGGCAGTGCCCAAGGCCAGGCTGGGCAGGGCTGGGAGCAGCCTGGGACAGTGGGAGGTGTCCCTGCCATGGCAGGGGTGGCACTGGGTGGGATTTGAGGTCCCTTCCAGCCAAACTGTTCTGTGATTCTGTTAAATCTGTACCTGCTGTCGAACAAAAGCTGATTATTCATCCTTCCCTGACTACATTCTTCAACTGAATTTCACTCAAATCTCAGAGCACAATCAATACTTTATATTTTTGGCCATGAACAGGCAGTGCATTTCTCACAGCATTACCCAAGAAAGGAAATGAGTCTCTGCAGAAGACTCAGCAGACTCTGAGCTCCATTCAGTGGGCTGTGACTCAGGGACAGCTCTGCAAGCTCCTGCTGGATGCAAGCGAGGGTGGACAACCAACTATTCATCTTGCAACACCTTTTTTTTTGTCCTTCCAGAATTAGTGGTGCAACTCCCAAGAGCAGCTTTTATTAACTCACTCCATCATATTTTTGGGCACAGCAACAGCTCCAGAGTAAAACCTTCCCACAGAGGCTCCTCCTGACTCAGAGCAGGAGCTCAGGCCCAGGAAGCCCTCAGCACCCACAAATGCAGGATGCTCACCTTGTTTTCTTGGACCTTCGTTGGAGTCGTTGTGTTACTTTTGTTTTCTCTTTGTTGACGACGTCTAGCTGCCTCTTGTTCCTCCTGGGGACAAGGGAGGGCACATTTCACCATCTGCTCACGTTTTATCACTTTCTAAAACAGATCACCTTCTTTCTCAGCTTCATTTTCCACAAGAAAAGGGAACAAAATCCCCCTTGGCTCAGGACACACTCAGGTGTGAACAAATCCTCTTCCACCTCCAGAGGGGATTAAATCTCAACCTCTTCCCATATTCTCCCCTCCAAACCCCACACTGCTGTATCAGATTTCATTTTAAATAATTTATTTCATCATCATCATCATCATCATCAATAATAGTAATAGTAATAATAATAATAATAATAATAATAATAATAATAATAATAATAATAATAATAATAATAATTTTTGTTAATGCTATATTATTATTCTATTAAAATTGTTAGTATTATTAATGAGTGTCGTTATTATTGTTATTATTATTTAATATATAATATGTAAATAATATGGTGAAATATATTAAATATAGTATATATACATAATCATTATTAAATAACAATAATAGCAATAATAGTAATAGTAATAATAATAATACTAATAACACTAACAATAACAACAACAATAAGAAATAAATAGATAAATTAATAATAGTAATATGGTAGTAATAATGGTAATAATGATGATGATGATGATGATGATGATGATGATGATAATAATAATAATAATAATAATAATTTTTGTTAATGCTATATTATTCTATTAAAATTGTTAATATTATTAATGAGTGTTATTATAATTATTATTATTTAATATATAATATGTAAATAATATGGTGAAATATATTAAATATAGTATCTATACATAATCATGATTAAATAACAATAATAGCAATAATAATAATAATAATAATACTAATAACACTAACAATAATAACAAAAACAACAATAATAAGAAATAAATAAATAGATAAATTAATAATAGTAATAATGATAATGATAATGATAATGATAATGATAATGATAATGATAATGATAATGATAATAATAATAATAATAATAATAATAATAGTGTTGTGCACTTTAATAGCTTCCCACATCCCCAACATTTTGTGATGACACTTTAGAAATCTTCCATGACTGGAAATGGCAAAGCCATTAATCATCATCTCATTCAACTTCAGCCAAGTTTATTGAGGTGACTAATAAAAAAACAAAAAAAACCCCAGCAACTTTTCAGGCTTATTTTCTCCCAGGCTGACAGGAAATTTCCCTGTTCAGAGAAAAATCTCTTTTTCTCTCAGAAAAAACAAAACTTCTTTAGGACAGGAAATTTCCAAGAGAGCAGTCAAAGCCTTTCCTGCACCTTCCAGAGGTTTAAAATCTGCTTAAGATTTCTGGCAATTCCAACACTCCTTTGATTTAAACACATTATCAACCAAACCAGAGGCAGGTCTAAGTGTGAAAAGCAGCAAAGGCCAGAAGTACCCTGATTTTATTTTTTTTTTTTCTCTAAGAAGTCTTTTTTGCCCCAAATTTGAGTGGAGCAAGCAATCTGAAACAATTCCCTCTCAGAGCCCCCATGAGTCTGTTCTTACACAGCCAGTCAGCCTGAGGATGAACACTCACCTGAAATTTTAAATTAAGTGGCCTCACTTAATTCTCTTCCTGGGAATCCATTGATTATTTCAGGTTAACCCAGCCCTGCACAGTCCCAAAAACTCTCTGGCATTTTAATTCCACGTGTAACAGCCCAGACTGCAGCAAATGACAACTCACTCTGTGCCTCCAATGGCACATCCCAAAAGGAACATTTCAGAGCCTTGCTCAGCTTCATTTCAGGAGCTGAGCACTGGGACATATTCAAACCATCATTCCCTTCTTTAATTCCAGTTCTTTAATGAAGAAATAGCTCATTACAGACCTCCAGTGCAAGGTAAAAGCACCTTGGGGCTGCCCCATTAATTCTCTATTAGAAATCCCTTGGACATGATTGAATTAGTGCTTGATGGCATCTGAGACTTCCCTTCAATTAGCTCCATGTTCTTTGCCTAGCAAGAAAATCGGATTTCCAATCAATTCTGTCCACCTGTGATTAAATTCCTCACAGTGGCTGCTCCCTTACTCTGAGTTTTCTACAGAAAATGATTGAAACTTACTTACCCTGAGTTTTGGATTTTTGAGACTAGAAAAATAGTTTTCAAGCTGAAAATAGAAAGAGAAGAGAGTCATCCTCAAAACCATGACAGATGAACACAGAAGAATAAAATATTAGCTTAAAACAAGTGCAGAACTGCAGCAATTCTGACTGCTTTGCTTTGATAAGCTCCATCAAGAAGCCATTTACATTCATTCTTTTCAGGCACCCAGCCTGTTGTGTAACAGGGCATAATCCAACCTCTACAAGGTTTTATCATCCCCACCACTCCTGGCCTTGTTTTAAAGCTTTCTGTCACATATCTCCCCTCAGCACAGGCTGATTTTCAATGAAATTATTTGCACTGAAGCTGCTGCACCCTCGTACTCCACCATTTATCTGCACTCTGGCACATTCCTGAAGAAAAGCTTTATTAGACTACAGCAGAGGAAGGAGAACAGCATTATTATCCCACTGCAAAAACCTTAGGGTGGGATAAATTATTTGTCCATGAAATTTTTAATTTCCAAAGGGTTTCTGGGTTTTATGAAGGGTTTGGAGGCTTTTTGGTGGGGGGTTGGTGTTTTTTTGGTTGGGGGGTTGTTGTATGGGTTATTTTTTGTTGTTGGTTTAGTTTTCTTTAATTGAAAAAAAATCCAGTGAATGCATCATCATTGTTATGGAGCTTGGGCTGCTTCTACAGCAGCTGAGAATTTTACTAAAATTGAGATTTACTGGTTGGATATGACTGAATGAAATGGTCTGTGCATCACAGAGGAATCAAAGCCCCACTGAGTCTTTCCTCTGTGAGTAAAGAACAGCAGGAGAGTCCAATTCTGAGCAGCTGCAGAAGGAATTTTATCAGGGAATCTCTGCAGCTTCATTAAACCAGCACTGCCCTCAACCCCAGGGCGGGTGTGCAAGCCTGGAGCAGGCAGTTTGCACACTCAGGTGTGTAAACCCACAAAGGGACAAGCAGTTTGCACACTCAGGTGTGTAAACCCACAAAGGGACAAGCAGTTTGCACACTCAGGTGTGTAAACCCACAAAGGGACAGGCAGTTTGCACACTCAGGTGTGTAAACCCACAAAGGGACAGGCAGTTTGCACTCTCAGGTGTGTAAACCCACAATGGGACAGGCAGTTTGCACTCTCAGGTGTGTAAACCCACAAAGGGACAGGCAGTTTGCACACTCAGGTGTGTAAACCCACAAAGGGACAGGCAGTTTGCACACTCAGGTGTGTAAACCCACAAAGGGACAAGCAGTTTGCACTCTCAGGTGTGTAAACCCACAAAGGGACAGGCAGTTTGCACTCTCAGGTGTGTAAACCCACAAAGGGACAGGCAGTTTGCACTCTCAGATGTGTAAACCCACAAAGGGACAGGCAGTTTGCACACTCAGGTGTGTAAACCCACAAAGGGACAGGCAGTTTGCACACTCAGGTGTGTAAACCCACAAAGGGTCAGGCAGTTTGCACACTCAGGTGTGTAAGCCCACAAAGGGACAGGCAGTTTGTACACTCAGGTGTGTAAACCCACAAAGGGACAGGCAGTTTGCACTCTCAGGTGTGTAAACCCACAAAGGGACAGGCAGTTTGCACTCTCAGATGTGTAAACCCACAAAGGGACAGGCAGTTTGCACACTCAGGTGTGTAAACCCACAAAGGGTCAGGCAGTTTGCACACTCAGGTGTGTAAACCCACAAAGGGACAGGAACACAAGCCCAGGCAGAAGGATGAGGAGCTGGAAGTGCTGCCAGGAGCAGGGCACAGGCAGCCCTGGTACTCACTATGGTTCTGTCAATGGTGTGCAGGTAGTAGGAGACTGGCTTCCCTGTCCAGGACACAGAGCCCTTCAGTGGTGACAGCTCCACAACCCTCATGATAGTGCCAATATCTGTGGGAGGAGACAGGAGCTGGTTAGGGGACACAGTGAGGATTTTGGGCCAAGACCAATGGCACTCCCAGCACTAATGTCTCACCCTGCCATCCCTCCTTTGCCACAGCTCCCAGAGCAGCTCAGCACTCTAATTTTTCCCTCAAAATTTCACTCAAAACTCAGAGCACAATCAATACTTTATATTTTTGGCCATGAACAGGCAGTGCATTTTTCACAGCATTACCCAAGATGATGTGGGTGCTGCACAGTATGCCCACAGTGGGATGAACCTCCTTTGCCACAGCTCCCAGAGCAGCTCAGCACCCTAACTTTTCCCTGCACAGGTGATGTGGGTGCTGCACATATCCCCACAGGGGGATGAACCTCCTTTGCCACAGCTCCCAGAGCACCTCAGCACCCTAACTTTTCCCTGCACAGATGATGTGGGTGCTGCACATATCCCCACAGGGGGATGAACCAGGCCCCAAGCATCTCCATGGCTCCAGCTCCTCCGTGCTGCCTCCGTGCCCAAAGCAGAGCCAAACCCAACCTTGGCCCCGCCACAGCCTCAGCCTCTGAGCAAAGGGGATGCTGCAGGCTCCTGGCTGCTCCCAAAACAGTCCCAGAGGAAAAACACGTGCAGGAGCACACGTGTGAGGAAGAGGAGGATTTGGAGGGGTGGCTAGCACCCTGTTTGCCCTGGCCCCGGGCACTGGGGCGTCCGTCAGCACACGGAGCCTGGGAATGTCGGTGGCTGAGTTGACTTTGGCATTTCCCAGCGCCAGCCCCCACGGCCTGGAGGGCATCCAAGAGCCCCAGTCCCCTGTGTCACTGCCCCTGGCACCCCTGGGCATCATGGGGTTAAACCAGACAGGTGCCCACTGCAGTATTCACACACTCTCTGAACTGAAAGAGACACAATTCTCTCTCTCAAGTGTCTTTCCTGGAGAAGCACAGAGGGAAAACAATTCTTATCTCATGTACTGCTCCTGTTGTTTTGTGAACATGTAGAATGCATTAGAAGATTATTTACCTAAAAAAATTTAATTATTAGATTCTAGTGATAGTGTTTTAATTCGTTGACCAATTAGATCCATGTCTGTGTGTCAGGACTGTCAGGTGACAGTCACAAGTTTTCAATAGTAGCTAAAAGTTAGAAGTAAGTATTATATAATATAAGAAATATAATATAATTAATAAAATGTATATATGATGTGATATAAGAAATATAATATAGCTAATATATTATACTATGATATGATAGGATAAAACATAGTATAATAAAACGTAATGTAATATGCTATAATATTATGATATTATATAGTATAATTAATATAATGCAATGTGCCATATTATATAATATCATAGTATAATATAGTACAATATAGTACAATATAGTACAATATAGTACAATATAGTACAATATAATATAATATAATATAATATAATATTACATTACATTACATTATATTATATTATATTATATTATATTATATTATATTATATTATATTATATTATATTATATTATATTATATTATATTATATTATATTGTCTAGTATTATATGGTACAATATAATATGATATAAATATTTTCATTAATGTATAATATAGTTCTAATAAAGCAAGTGTTTACATTCCAGAGCCATGGACTCAGATGCCAATCATTCTCCTTTGTCAGGAGTGCCCTGATTTTACAATAACCAACACAGAGAAATCTGGTTTGCAGATCCTCCAATAAAACACTGCTGGGATTTGAAGGGAATTTCTTCCTCTCTTGCTACGTGCACCCCACAGCAAAGCACCATGTGGGACATGTACCTTTGAGGCAGCCAGGCCAGAGTGAGTTAGTTGTGGCCAGCAGAACTGTGTCCCAGACTCTTTTCCAAGGAACACCACATGTGTGTGACAGGGATGAATTCAAGAGCCCCAGCACGTCACCAGCCCAGCCCCTGTCAGCTGCAGCTGCCCTATATTTGGACTGGGCACAAACATGTTTTGGGTTTGCTTTCTTGTCTATATTTGTTTTGTTCTCCAGAATTAATAGCTTGGGGATGTGCCTTAAACATTCCCACAAGCACTGAGCCAGTGGCAGGGCTGCAGGAGAAATTATGGCACGTTTCTAATTAAACAAAAATGACCCAGAAGAGGCCAAAAGCAAGGTTTGGGATTCAGCAACCTCAACCACTATTTTAACCACATTTTAATACTTGTTTTCATTTGTCCCAACTCCTTCCACATTTCCACTTCTTCCCACAGATGGAACTACTAAGGACAAAAGTGGAATTGAGGGAACTGGTGCCTCCTTCTTAAAGCTTGATGTTTCCCAGGGTTTTGTATAAATTATTTAAATGTTCATACTCCAGATCAGAGTATTTGACAGACAGGTGAGACGTGACTCAAGGCATGCTCAGGCACCAAAAAAAGCCTTGAAGAATAAAAGTGTTATGGCAAACCCTGTGGGGCAGCTGTGAGGCAGCAGAGCAGTGACATTCCCTGCTCCATGAGCAGGACCCTGGCCGTGCTGGGGATGGCATTTCCCTGGCAGTGGCACTTGGAACAGGACACTGCAACAAGCCCCAGCCCCAGCACATCCCACACAAGCTCATTTCATGTTGGTGTTTCCCAACATAACATGGCCTCAAAAAGGGATTAAGCCCTAAAATTTCTTCACACAATTCTCCCTGTTCGTAGCACACTAAGGTAATTTTTTTTCAGGGCCTTTTATCTGAATCCCTGGAAGTTTCCTACTGGCAGAAGCTGTTGGCTCTCCTTTTGCTAGAGCCTCTCACCCATCCAAAGTCCAATTAATCATCTCAATATAATTTTAACATCAGCATTTCCATTCAGCATTAAATAACAGCTGAGATCTGAGAGTTCAGCATTCTAGAAAACATCCCAAATGAATCCAGGCTGGGCTGAGAGCTGGGATGGGATAAAGGTCTGGCTCAACTGGCAGAGGCAACCAGGGCTGCTCTGAGGTGAAACAGCAGCACATGCTGGCCTCAGTCTCCCAAATGCAGCACAGAGAGAAGGGAATGGGAAAAATCCAGGAAAAGAAAAGGTTTGAGAGTCCAAAGCCCTGTATTTTTTTGGGCAGGTCTAATTTAAACATCTCCAAGTGCATTTTTGGATTTTCTCAAGCTCTGGTGGGCTCTGCAAGAGGGCCCAAGCTTCACTTAGGGTCTCTTTGCCTCATTAGCAAACTGACAGCCTGGCCCCAGCTCTCCCAGGCCTTGAGGAGTTCCAGGAGCATCATTCCAGCCTTTTTCCCTTTTCTTTTCAAGTTCATGCCTCCAAAGAATTGGCAGTCCAGCACCCAAGTTCCAAAGCACCAGAGGCCCCAGATGAGAATTTCAAACAGGGAAGAAAAGTGCAGGTTTGGGTGCCTGATGTGTAGTACATCCACAAGAATTCAAGCTTAAAAATAACTCCCAAGGGCTCAATTTACTTCATGACAGTCCAAAAATTACTGTTCTTCAAAAGCAGTTTAGGCCAAAATTAGACAGCACAGCTTGAGATTTGGAACTCACTGAGTTGCTCCCCACGTTTGCACAGGGAGGGAATGAGGGGGGTTTGATTTAAGGAAAATTTAGCACTGGAAACAATAAATACAAGTAAAGCCCAGCTTGGACTGCTCTTCTGCTTGAGAAATTTAATTTAAAAACCTGAACTGAAAGGGACCCACAAAGAACATCAGTCCAGTTTCTGCACAGACACCCCAGTTTCAACAGTCAAAGTCTGAAAAGGTCAAAACCAACCACATGGAATGTCCCAAAACCTCCTTAAACTGCAGCTCATGTCCTTACAGAGGACAAGGCTGCCAAACATTGAGTCTGGACTGTTCCCAGGAGAAGGAAACCACGACCCTGTGCTGCCAATGAACCAGACCAGGACCTGGGTGTGTCTGGGAGAGGTTTGTTTGCTCAATGCACAGCACAGGAGATGTTCAAAGCTGAACATTTCACACAATCCTGGAATGGTTTGGGTTGGGAGGGACCTCAAAGCCCATCCAGTGCCATGGCAGGGACACTTCAACCATCCCAGGCTGCTCCCAGCCCTGTCCAGCTGCCACATGATTTTATTGTGTGCCCTCCTCCCACTGACAGCTCTGTTCAGGCAAGTTTTTAATTCTCTGTGGGTTTATTTATCCTGAGTGTTTCCTTCCAGCCATCACTTGGTTCCCATAAAAAAGCAGCACCAGCAGCAGTTCTGCCATTTCTCTGCCCTTCCCCAGGTTCCTGTCCCTGAACTGGGGGGTCAGTGAGTGAGGGCATGGCCAGGGCTGGGGTTCCTGACCAGTTCTGGTTGGTTGAGAGGCCACAGGAGCCCTGCAGCTGCACCCCCTTGCTGGGGGAACCAAAGCCTTCCTCTTTGCCAGGCTGAGATGGTCCCAGTCAGTTAAAAATCCCAGACTGGTTTGATGGGGAGGGACCTTAAATCCCATCCAGTGCCACCCCTGCCATGGCAGGGACACCTCCCACTGTCCCAGGCTGCTCCCAGCCCTGTCCAGCCTGGCCTTGGGCACTGCCAGGGATGCAGGGGCAGCCCCAGCTGCTCTGGGCACCCTGTGCCAGGGCCTGCCCACCCTGCCAGGGAACAATTCCTGATTGCCAAGATCCCATCCAGCCCTGCCCTCTGGCACTGGGAGCCATTGCCTGGCTCCTGTCCCTGCAGGCCTTGTCCCCAGTCCCTCTGCAGCTCTCCTGGAGCCCCTTCAGGCCCTGCAGGGGCTTTGAGGTTTCCCTGGAGCCTCCTCTTGTCCAGGTGAGCACCCCCAGCTCTCCAGCCTGGCTCCATGACCTCTAAGCCTTAGGAATCCTGCCTGGTGGGATTTACCTGCCTGGATTTAGGGTGTAGGGAACTCCCCTGTGAGTCAGGGCTGCTCTTTGTGGCTCAAGGAATGATTCACACCCTTGAACTCCTGATTTCTCTGCACATTGATGGAACCAACACCAAAACACAGCAGCACAAACCCCATCAAAAGTGTCTGCTCCTCTCTTTAACTTGATTCTAAATTGATTTTAAATTGTCCTCTCCTCTTTTACAATTGATTTTAAGTACCTGTCACTTGGTGTGCCCTAACAATCCAACAGCATTTTCTACTTAAACAACTCTAAAATGCAGTAACACCCCCCAGACATTTTCAGATAATGAACATCCACGACTGTAATGAACAATAAAAAGGGCAATCATACCACTCAAGTTTCGACTGTTAATTCTAAAATTTAGAGGTGCAAAAGGTTTTGAGGACACAATTCTCCCACCTGGAAAAAGAAGAAAAAAAAAACAAAAAACAAAGAGCTCCATTATTTGTTCTAGAAGTAACTACTTATTAAATATAACCTAGTACAGAGCCCTAAAGAGCAATCCTATAAAACTGCCCCTTGTATAGCATTAAAAAATAAATAAATCCCTTAATTCTCATTCTGAGAGCCCCAGGAAAGCAAATCCATGATTCCTGCCAGGTGACACCTCAAGGATCGTTTAAAATGACAGATTTGAAACACTTGGAAAAAAAAGAGCACGTTAATTCTCAGTGGCAATCTAAAGAAATTTCAATTATCTCCATCCTACTTGGGATCTTTTAGACACAAGCCCCCAAAGCCCTTTAATTTAGAGGCCACGAATCTTCATTTCATGGATATTTGGGGTCATTGAGCAGACCCTGAAGCACACTCTGGGAAGAGAAATCAGGTTTCATCAGTGTAAAGGGTTCTTTAAACATCTCCACCTTCCCACTGCTCTCAAGCCACCATTAAACAAGTTTGAAAACTGAAAAACAATCCAGTTAAATTAAAGAAAACAGCTTAAGTTTGGGGGTTTTATGGTTTGCAGCAGAGCCCAAAAGTCACATTATTTATTTCAGCACAAAGCTGTGCCATGGGAAGCCACAGCTGCTTTGTTCACACCACATATTTTTCTTTTCAGAAATTGTTATTTCTGTCATTTCTGCCACAACCAAGTAAAATTGTTACTTTTCCCAGTGGTTAAGAGCAAAGAAAAGACACTCAGGGCAATGGAGAGGCCAGGATGGGGTTAGGGGCTGTCCCCAGGCTGCAGTGTGGCTTCTCAGGAGCACCCAGTGACACTGTCCCCGTTTTCATGGAATTGTGGAACCATTAAGGTTGGAAAATACCTTTAAGATCATCATGTCCAACCATCAAAGGCCATCCCACTAAAGCCTGTCCCCAGGTGCCACATCCCCACAGGTCTGGAGTATTTCCAGGGATGGGGACTCAAACATTTCCAAAATCAGGAGTTAACAGCCTGCTCTAAATGAGCCAGCTCTGAACAGGAGAAGTGAATTCTGGAAGGAATTACAGACTGGCCTTCCAAAGCTGTGCCTCTGCAGCCAGAATCATGGAATGGCTTGGGTTGGAAGGAGTTTAAACTCACCCAGTGCCACCCTCTGCCATGGCAGGGACACCTTCCACTGTCCCAGGGTGCCCCAAGCCCTGTCCAGCCTGGCCCTGGACATTTCCAGGGATCCAGGAAGTTTGGCCTTGGCTGTTGGGTGTTTTGTGGGCTCCCAAAAGAGGGAAGGATGGACCAGCAGCTCCTCCAACCCCAGCCCTGCTGCAGAGTTTTCCCAGCAGAGGGGATGCTCCAAGGAGCCAGGAGGTGTGGGCAGACACAAAGGGGGGAAGAACAAATCCCACTGTGCTGCAGCCCCTTGGCCCCAAGGCACAGAACAAACCCCAAGGCCTGGCTTTGCCAGGTGTAACTGAGCCCCCCTCCCAGCCCAGCTCCCACAGGAATCAGGAAACAAGGAGGAAACATTTCCAGTTGGATTTACCTTCCTTCATGTTGGCAAAGCGCTCCTTCAGCTGGTGATCCACCTCAGGCCCGAAGGCAAAATTATTCACAAAAATAACACTGCAAAACAATGATCCAGTTAAAGATCAGGGAGCCAGGAACACCCCACAAGGACCCCCAGCCACACCACAGCCAAGGGAGCCTTCCCAGCCACTCCTGCCAAGGACAAACCTGCTTGTCCCAAACTCTACAGCTCCTGTCACCAAAACCACAGAGAGCAACACTCAGCTCTTCATCCTGCTACTTCTTGGTGGGGATTAAAATCTTACAGCAAAACATCACAATGTACTTTAGAATCATAAAATTATTTGGTTGGAAGGAACCTTAAAGCTCATCCAGTGCCACCCCTGCCATGGCAGGGACACCTTCCACTGTGCTCCAAGCCCTGTCCAACCTGGCCTTGGACATTTCCAGGGATCTGGGACAGCCAGAGCTGCTCTGGGCAATCTGTTTCAATTCCAGCTCCAAATTCCCCATAATGCCAGAAAACAGTGACCTCTGAGCACATTTTCCCAGTCCTAAACCCAGCACTTCAGCCCTACCCACAACAGAGGAATTACATCTTTGCTTCTGGGTTAAGAAATTCAGTGAGGGAAGGGATTGTTCCTGGAAAAAAGCAATCATGGCAACAAAGAAATCTGCACAGAGGTAGAATCCCACAAATGATAAAAGGGCTTGGGAAAGAAACAGAACATGCCACAGATTAAAAAAGAAAAATATCCTTTTAGTTTAAAGATCTAATCAGCCTGGCCTAATTGTTAATGGTGCCCAGGCTGCAGCAGGAGTCCTCAACACCTCTTGAAAGTGGTTGAGCTCCCTGCTGAATGAACCTGTCAGGCCTTGGCATGGAGCTCAGGGCAAGGTTCTGCCCCCCGAGGCTGCTGGGCACTGCCCAGGCTCCCCAGGGAATGGTGCCAAGGCTGCCACAGCTCCAGGAGCCTTTGGACACAGAATCACAGAATTCCAGAATCACTGGGTTGGGAGAGACCTTCAAGATCATCAAGTCCAACCCAGCCCCAACACCTCAAATGAACCCTGGCACCCAGAGCCACATCCAGGCTTTGTTAAACACACCCAGGGATGAGGACTCCACCACCTCCCCAGGCAGCCATTCCAGACCTTTATCACCTTTCTGTAAAAAACTTTTTCCTAATATCCAACCTAGATTTTTTTCCTGCTACCCAACCTGAATTTCCCTTGGCACAGTTGAGGCTGTGTGCTCTGGTTCTGTCAGTTCCTGGAGAAAGAGCCCAGCCCCAGCTGAGCACAGGCACCTTTCAGGAGCTGCAGAGAGTGATGGGGGCACCCCTGAGTCTCCTTTTCTCCAGGCTGAGCACCCCCAGCTCCCTCAGTTGTTCCTCACAGGGTTTGTGCTCCCAGCCCCTCACTGACAGAGCCCTCAGGGCTGCTCAGGGTGGGGTTGTTGGGGTGGCTGGGCAGGCACAGGGGCTGCACTGATCATCCCTGAGGGTCCCTTCCCCTCAGAATATTCCAGGATTCTATGAAGTGTAAAATCCATCCTGGTCTATTGTTCCCACATGAAGAACTGATTTCTTTGCAGGAAAATTCCCTTCCCAGTGCCTCCACACATGAAACGTGTTCAACAAGGACACAGGGAGTTTAAGAGCAGCACTCAAAGCTATTAAAAACCACGAATGAAAAAAACGTTTATGCACCAAGGGAAAAAAAAAGTTATTCTTGCTACGCCTTGCTCTTGGAAATTTGGGAAACCCTGCCTGGCAAGTAAAGCTAGCAGGGGTTTCTTCCTCCTCCTTCCCATGTGCCAAAAGAAAAAAAAGGCCTTGCAAAGGAGCCAAACATATTAATGGGCCTAGAAAACATCCAGGAGAGGAAGGGGAAAAGCCAGAGCCTGCAGATGTGTTTTTATAGTGTTCACTCTGGCACAGGAACCCTGAATCCCCTCAGGCTCAGCCTCCTTCCAGGAGGTTTTGCCAAGCCACAGGCACAGGGATGCCCTGGAACACACAGGGAACCATGTCCTGGTAGTAGCCCCATCCCTGGAAGTGTCCAAGGCCAGACTGAACAGGGCCTGAGGTGCAGAAGCTGCCAGAGGTGGCACTGGATGGAATTTAAGCTCCCTTCCAACCCAAACCATTCCAGACTTCCCAGGTCCTGCCCCAGAGCGAGGTGGAGCAGCACTGAGACACACAGTGAGTGCCATGCCACACAAAGCAAACATCTCCCAGCACTTCTGGGTGCAGCCAGAGCTCCTGCAGCCAAAAATGTCTCTAAAAAATTTCAATTAATTCCGAGGAAAGTTGCCCGGGCAGCAGAGGATTGTGCACTTGGAATAACAAGCAACAAAGCCAAACCCAAGTGTGCTGCAAGGCTGGGACAAGTCTGTCCACAAATTAAAAGGCACCTCCAGAAGAAAGTGAGGGGCAGAATCGTGCAGGAGTCACCAGCCTGGCAGACGCCTCCTCCAGGCTCTCACAACCAGAGCTTTGGGAGCCATCCAGAAATTGCCACAACTCCAAGGCTTTCAGAGCTCTCTTTGACAACTGCCTTCCATTCCCCCACAAAACAGGGTGGCCCAGAAGGTCATATAAAAATAAAGAGGTTTTTTTTTTCTACCCATAAGGCTGAAAGAATGCAAAGCTTTAAAAATTCAGATGACTTTTATTGCTTTTAACAAATTTACTCCCTTTCTGCTCCCTCAGAAAGGAGCCCAACCCTCTGCATTTAGTTCTCCACGTAAATAAATCTTCAAGACAATTAGTTTAAATGAACTTACTTACAATTTAAGTTGAAAGAAACTCACTTGGGTCTTTTCCTTTTTATGAGAGGGAAAGTGAGCCTGTGTGCCCCAATAGCCAAGAGAAGGAGTGTTTTGCCAGAATCCCTGACATGAACTATAGGAATATGCAAAACAAATGGAGGTTTGTGCTCCTTTTATAAGCAGAATTTATCTTGGATACACCCTTGTATGGAATATCATGGGATATGCACTCCAAGCCATTCTTCTAGTCAGAAAACAGGATCTAAAGAGGCCACTGTAAGAGTTGGCAGATAGACTTTGGGTATTTGCTATGGAAATTCTATATAAAAAGCTGGCCAGCCTCCCAATTTCCATTATACAAACTCCCAAATATCCAGCTCAGAAAGCAGCATTCAAGTGCTGTACTGTACCTTGTGTTTGCAATCCTCTCCCTCCATTCTTCTGAGAGGAAGTCACCTCTTTCCAGCTGAAACAAGACAAAGAACAGAAACACAGAGGGGTTAACAGGGCACCCTCCAGAGAGGGACAAGCAGGCTGCACCAGCTCCCTGACCCCACAACAACCAGGGGCAGGTGGAACCTTTTGGAAAGGCAGAGGTGGAGCAGAAAACCTGACCCTGAGGTTTCTCCCTCCCTGCTCCCGTCCTCGGCCTCTCTCCTGCATGGGAAGGGCTCTGCTCCATGGAGAAGCCAAAAGTGCTGGCACTCAGTTTAAAACTGCCCAGAAAATGCCTCCTGAAGGCCCCCAGGGCTGGGAACCCCCCCTCAGCACAGGGAGCTGAGCCTGGATTGGGAACAGCTCCTGCTGGGAGCCCTGGCTCCCAATTCAGGCTCTTGCTGCACTGCATAAACAACAATCTGATTTTTGTGCTGCTAAATATAAACCCTGAGCACTTCTAACACTTTCAAGTTGGAAATGAAGTAACATAAAGGCCTTGTTTGAAAATAAGTACAGTTATGACTTCAGTGGTTGTGCAGCACCTTTCTGGTGACACCACATCAAGCCCCAGGTGAGCACAGAGCTCTGGCACAGACTGAAATTTCCTCAGTTGTGTTCTGGAAATGGGAGAGGAGCCCATGGGCCACATCTCTGCTGTGCCACAAGGCAGGCAGGAGGAGGTTTGGGGGAGGAAGATAAGAGGAAGAGAGAAAAAATAAGGTGCAAGTCTCTAATTAATGCTGCTGGCACCCTTTGAAGATGATGGTTTGTGCCAGAACCTCAGGAACATCAAAGCAGCTGCTGAGGATCCTTTTCCTGCACTGATTTCTCTGTCTGGGAGGGAGTGAGGATTTCACATGGCAGCACAAATTCTCATTAGTGACAACTCCAAAGTTGCAGACACTGGAGCAACTTCCATCCCTCAGGGCTGGGAACATCCCAAGGGAGCTCCTGGTGCCAGGCAGGGACACAGAGGGGGTGACAAACCTGCCTGAGCCACTGTGAAGAACAAAGCCACAGGTGCCAACAGGAATGGGGCAGCTTCCAGGAGGAAAGGAAGGGGAAAAGCACCAAAATGTCCTGAGAAAATTGGACATCTCAGGCAAGAGATCAAGAACTTTGTCAAGAGCCTGAAGTGCCAGAAATTGAAGAGAGCAGGTAAGAGTAGCTCAAGTTATTCAGAAATACCTGTTCCACCAGCTGGGCTGGAGTCAGAGTTAAAGCAGAATTACTGCCTGTAATTCTGGGAGGGGAAGCACCTTTGACATCCCTGTTGTAACAAAACCAAAGGATAAGATGGAAGCTGAACTCGAAAGATCCAAGCCAAGGACATCTAGCTGGGCATTGTCAGAATCTAAACCAGAGATTTAACACCAAAAAAGTTCTAGGAAGAGTTTTTTCTCATATAAGGAAAGATATTTCTGGGTGTCTATATGTGGACACCACCTCTAGATTGATTTTAAGAGATCATTTTGTCTCAGCCTTATCTATTCTTGTAGTGAACAGCTCCATGGTTGAGTAACCAAGACAAAGTCAAAGAAAACCCACATAACAGGCAACTGTGTTGATTTTCTAACAATTTTTGCAAGTCAGCTCCTCTATGGCATCTTCCACACCACCAGTTTCTAAAGTCTCCACAGGGTTTTTCTACATTAACAGGGAAAGAAAAGCATTGGGAAAACCAGGAACCACAAACATCACAGTGTGCAAGAGAACAGAGAAGCAGAGTAACATGAAACTATTTTGAAATGCTAAACTTCATAATAAAGGTCTTGAAATCCAACCTATGTGGCTGTTAGGCCTCACTTGGGTCCAGTTTCACTGTGTGTTTGCCCTGTCTGTGTGGTTAGAAAAGCACTTCTAACCAAAATCTCCAGGTTTTAACCTGATATCACCCATGAAGGATGAGCACTTTGCAAGCCAGAGCCATTTAACAATTCAAATGAAGCACAGCCCACTTTAAACACATCTATTTTTGTGTGGCACTGCTTCCCCAGCTCATGCTTAGCCAAGAGCCAAGGGAAAAACTTCTCCAGGAAAAACACTGGAGTACAGAAATAATCAAATGAGCAACTGTGGCTGGGAGAAAATGGGTTATTTTTTCCCTCTGGAAGCAAGGCAGTGATTCCTGGATGCTGCCCTGTAGCAGGGACTGAGCTGCCTGACCCTGTAACCAGGGGGTAATTTATATTTAGCTCCTTACCCCCTGTGCTGGGGCACTGATCAATAAATGATCAATAAAAAAGGAAAGAAGCTCTTTATCCATCAACTGACACACAGAATCAAAAAAATTCCCCCCAAATCCCACTCAGCTCAGTGGTTTGCAATAATTTTGAGAGTGAAACAAGAACTGGGAAGGAAAATGCAGCTGATTAAGGGAAGTCCAGTCTGCTGGAGCAGCAGAACTGGTCCATGCTGGGAGAAGGGGACACATCCACAGGGCCACACTCAATCTCTCCCTCCACTGTCCCCTCCCTCACCCTGCTCCTCCTCTCTCTGAAACTTAATCTCCTTAGTGAATAATGAATGGAAGGGACCATCTGTAACACAGATATTTTCATCTGATTAGACAGTACAGGAGATGCTTTATCTAACAGGATAATGAGCTCACAGAAATCGCCTCCAGAGCTGTGCCTGCATTGCTTCTAAATTTAGAAGGCAGACCAGGTTTTTATTCAGGTTTTTCAAACAGCCACTGCAGGAATACACTCAGCAGCCTCTGATTCCTGTAACTCTTCCTGCAGCTGGAGGGAAAGCAGCAGGGCCCAGCCTGGGGGAGGCAGCCAGAGGTACACAGAGGGTGAGAATCCAAGTGACTACAGAACAAATGAGGCTGCAATTCTGTATGGAAACATGGCTGAAGAGGTTGGGGGTTTTTATATATAATTGTGGACAAAATAGAGTGGAAACACACCTGGATAATTGAGGTTTATTTTAAATAAACTGGGCCTTGCTGTCCAGAATTCATGTCCAAGCTCACAACTTCCAGCACTAACAAGAACAATCCAATGGGGAAGGCCAGAAGCTGAATTTCAAGGCTGCAGAACAATTTGGTGAGGGGACAGTGACTGCCCTTCTCTCCAAGGCTTCTCAAACACAACTTTATTGCTTGCAGAGTTTGGGGGTCCTGGGGTTTGGGTTGTTTACATTCCTAGCAACTTTCCTTCAATGGCAAGCTGAAAAAATCCTCTTGGGAGGATTGGGGCAGGTTGCAAAAACATCATCAGGTTCTGAGTCCTTTGGACTGCTGCAACAGGCAAAAAGGACAGAAAATATTTCTCAAAAAGATTCTACCAGGCAGGAAGGCTGGAGATGCTGAAAAGCTCCAGAGATCATGATTCCCCAAGTAACAAGGAGCTGTTGAGATGCACAATCCCAAACAAGCATGGAACACTCTGCAAAAGTCAACTTTTCAGCACATCACTTCCCATGGAGAACCCAAAATCCATTGAATTGGAAATCCCTAACTGTGCTGGGATCTTGGCTGTTAAAACACCCTAAAAACCCAGCATGACCCTGCAGGGCATGTCCAGCATTTATTGCTGCCTTAGGCATCACAGTTTTCAATTTACAGCAAGAGGGGGAAACACCATCCACAAAGTTCAGCCAGAGCTGCAGGTGGGATCTGAAATTCTTCCCACTGAACTCCCACCAAGCCCTCCTCTCCTCCAGCACTTGATTCTTCTCAAAACACAAAAACATCATCAGGTTCTGAATCCCTTGGACTGCTGCAACAGGCAATAAGGACAGAAAATATTTCTCAGCAAGATTCTATCAGCTGGGAAGGCTGGAGATGCTGAAAAGCTCCAGAGATCATGATTCCCCAAGTAACAAGGAGCTGTAGACATGCACAATCCCAAACAAGCATGGAACACTCTGCAAAGTCAACTGTTCAGCAGATCAGGGAGAACCCAAAGTTCATTTGAATTGGAAATCCCTAACTGTGCTGGGATCTTGGCTGTTAAAACACCCTAAAAACCCAGCATGACCCTGCAGGGCATGTCCAGGATTTGTTGCTGCCTAAGGCACCACAGTTTTCAATTTACAGCAAGAGGGAAACACCATCCACAAAGTTCAGCCAGAGCTGCAGGTGGGATCTGCAATTCTTCCCACTGAACTCCCACCAAGCCCTCCCCTCCTCCATAAAACCATCATGAGGTTCTGAGTCCCTTGGACTGCTGCAACAGGCAAAAAGGACAGAAAATATTTTTCAAGCAAGATTCTACCAGCTGGGAAGGCTGGAGATGCTGAAAAGCTCCAGAGATCAGGATTCCCCAAGTCAGAAGGAGCAGAGCAGGAGTTTAGGAAGGTCAGGCCCATGTGCTGGGGAGGAGGGCTGGGTTCTCAGCCCAGTGCTGGCCAGGGAGGCTCTGTGCTGCTGGAGCCATAAATTCACAAATTCAGGATGTCTCAGTGCAAACACTTGGCTCCCAAAGCCCCAGAATTTCTGCCTGGAAAAGTACACATGGTTATTTTTAGGTCCTTGTTCTTTTCAAAAATAACCAGAGGCACGAATCCAAACCTCCAAAATGTGGCATCATTTCAAAGCCACAGGGGACGTTTGGAGGGATTTTCAAATGCCAAACCAGCAAATTTCCTGCTGAAATGGGGAGGTCAAAAATACCAGGAGCAAACAGCTGGCTCATCCTGCCCTGAGAGCAGCTCCTGGAGCAGGAGGTTTTCAGGTGCAGGAGATGTCAGTCACCATCACAAAGCAGCTCCTGGGCACTGGAACTCCCACACAGCTCCCTGCTTGTGCTCAGAACAGGAGAAATATTCAATAAAGCAGGCAGAAAAGCAGCCCAAACTTAGCACTGATGCTCAAAACTCACCCCTGATCCTCAGGGCTGAACCACCTGCAGGCCCCAGAAACTCCTGGGGTTTCCTGGGAGCAGACAGAGGCATCCATCCAGCCCAAATCCCAACTTTAGGAATCCTGAGTTTGATAATCACTGCCACCTCCTAAAGAAGCTTTTCTGGAGCAGATGAGGAATTCTGTTATAACAACCCTGAGTAAATAAACACAAAACTAAGCCTGGTTCTCAGCAGAGTCCAACATGGGACTGCAGCAACTCCCAGCTGCTCTGAGCTCAGCCTGGGATCCTTCAAGTTGTGCTTATTTTGTCTCCAACATTGATAATTTTGGGGCCTCACACAGCATTTTGCAGGGACAAAGTTTCCAGAAAGACAAAGATGCCAAACTTTCCATTCCACAGCTCCCTGTGTCCTCCAGGTACAGCATGAATAAGTTTGCTCTGTGCTTTCTCCTCTCAGGAAAAGGGAAGCATAGGCACTGAGAACTCAACAAAAACCTTTGGAATTTTGGGATCTCACAAAGCATTTTGCAGGGACAAAATTGTCAGGAAGACAAAGATGCTGGGATTTCTATTCCACATCTACCTGTGTCCTCCAGCAAGTCTGCTCTGTGTTTCATTCTCTAAAGGGAACAACAGGTCCCAGGTACTGAGAACTCAACAAAAAACCAAAAAATACCCCAAACTTTCCCTAAGGGGAGCCCAGGAAGAGAAGAACTTTGTGCTACTCAGCAATCCCAGCCTCCTGCCCCAGATACCTGAGATGGTTCTGATTCTGAGGCCACAGGAGGATATTTACAGTTAGAAACCATGAAAACCCATCTGCCTCTTAATTGGCATGCAGGGTTTTAATTGAATGGCTGCACATATGCAGGAATTCCCCAAGAAAGACTCACTAATTAGCCAGGCCTAATGACCTTCCCAAAGTCTCCTGTTCCTTCAGAGAAGTTTACTTGAAAAGAGTGGGGTAAAGTTAATCTTGGAAACTTCTGAGCTCCATGAGAAGAGAAAGGAGAAGTTTAAAGAGTTGGAATAAAAGGACATGTGGTGGAAGTGGGACATTCTAGAGCAAAAAGCTGAAGCAGATGATGATGATGATGATGATGATGATGATGATGATGAAAAGCACTAGAGGAGGAGGATCCTCCCCTTGGAATGCAGGAGAGAAGAGCAGCAGAATCTGATTTTCCCTAAATGAGCAGGAATTGCACATTCCCCAAGAGCAGGGCATGTAAATATTCATTTAAGAGGATTATGAGACTCAGTGGCCAACAACAGCTGCAGATCAGGAGCCTCCCAGGGCAATGCATGAGGAGCAAATCCCTCCCTCTCCTCTCATGCCCCTCATGGATCTTCCTCCCCTCAGCTGTGGCTCTGCAGCCTTGGGCATCCAACACCCCCAGGACACTTTGACACCTGCAGCTGGGGAACTTTAATGTGATTTTATCACCAAGTGACTACAGAACAAATGAGGCTGCAATTTTGGGTGGAAACATTCAAGAAGTTTTGGTTTGTTTTATTTTACAATTGTAGACAATATATATGTATTTTTATATAATTTGTGGACAAACACACCTGGACAATTGAGGTTTATTCTAAATAAACTGGGCCTTGCTGTCCAGAATTCATGTCCAAGCTCACAACTTCCAGCACTAACAAGAACAATCCAATGGGGAAGGCCAGAAGCTGAATTTCAAGGTTGCAGAACAATTTGGTGAGGGGACAGTGGCTGCCCTTCTCTCCAAGGCTTCTCAAACACAACTTTATTGCTTGCAGAGTTTGGGGGGTCCTGGGGTTTGGGTTGTTTACATTCCTAGCAACTTTCCTTCAATGGCAAGCTGAAAAAATCCTCTTGGGAGGATTGGGGCAGGTTGCAAAAACATCATCAGGTTCTGAGTCCCTTGGACTGCTGCAACAGGCAAAAAGGACAGAAAATATTTCCCAGCAAGATTCTACCAGCTGGGAAGGCTGGAGATGCTGAAAAGCTCCAGAGATCATGATTCCCCAAGTAACAAGGAACTGTTGAGATGCACAATCCCAAAGAAACATGGAACACTCTGCAAAGTCAACTGTTCAGCAGATCAGGGAGAACCCAAAGTTCATTTGAATTGGAAATCTCTAACTGTGCTGGGATCTTGGCTGTTAAAACACCCTAAAAACCCAGCATGACCCTGCAGGGCATGTCCAGCATTTATTGCTGCCTAAGGCACCACAGTTTTTACTTTTACAGCAAGAGGGAAACACCATCCACAAAGTTCAGCCAGAGCTGCAGGTGGGATCTGAAATCTTCCCACTGAACTCCCACCAAGCCCTCCCCTCCTGCAGCACTTGATTCTTCTCAAACACTGATTTTTCATATGACTGCCTCTAACACTGGAGTGGAACTCACGAGTTGAGCTCTGCTGATGACAGATTATTTCAGTTTGTGCTTATTTTGTCTCCAACATTTGGAATTTTGGGACCTCACAAAGCAGGATCAAAAGTGTTTTCCAGAAAGACAAAGATACCAGGTTTTCAATTCCACATCTTCCTGTGTCCTCCAGCTGCATCATGAGCAAGTTTGCTCTGTGTTTATAGATGTGTTTAACAGTCACCTATAGCAGATGCTGCTAAGGAGTTCCTAAAGGAAATAAACTGCCTGGCAAAAGTCTGTTTGATGAATAAAACCTAAATAAAATCTGCCCTGTGTGCCTCCTATAAAATCTGTGTTCAAGCATCACTCCAAGGTGACAGGAAACCAACTTTCCTTCAGACAAGATGTGCTGCAAGTGTTTTAACTTTTCCCAAAAAAACCTCAGATTGCATATTCAGGGAAATTTTACTCTAAACACTGCAGAAAACAGAGTTATAAAAGCCAAAGAACCTGGCAAAAATAAATAGCTTTGTTTCAATATAGCACCAGACTCTGTCACTTGGAATGCTCAATATGGAAATGCTGCCTAAGGCAAGCAATATGCTTCCAATATTTTAGTCTAAGTTCCTCTCCTATTCCTTAAATTACCCAGCCCAGAAGCAGAGCATCCTCAGGAACAATTCCTTTCAAGTCATGCCAGCTGGGTGACACAATGGAAAAATGCCATCTGGCCACTTCAGGAAAAGGAAAGCACTCCCAGTGCTGCCACAGCAGGAAGGAATTATCAATCCTGCTGCAGAGCAGGCCCAGCATCCCTGGAAGGGAATCCCTGTGTGCAGAGCAGGAATTGCAGGAGGGAGGTGCCAGGGGCAGGTGGGAGCATCTCCTTCCCAGCCTGCTTCCCAAAGGAGAGTTGGAGCAGCTGCTCTGCAAGATGAGGGCACCAAGGGCCTCAGGAGACAGAAAATTGGGAAATAAAACCAGGTCAGCTCCAATTGATCCCACAGTGCTGGGATCTACGTGGATCACACCAGCCCAGGAACAGGGCAGGGAGAGGAGAAGGGAAGGAGAAAGGGAAGGAGAAAGGGAAGGAGAAAGGGAGGAAGAAGGGAGGAAGAAGGGAGGAAGAAGGGAGGAAGAAGGGAGGAAGAAGGGAGGAAGAAGGGAGGAAGAAGGGAGGAAGAAGGGAGGAAGAAGGGAGGAAGAAGGGAGGAAGAAGGGAGCAAGAAGGGAGGAAGAAGGGAGCAAGAAGGGAGCAAGAAGGGAGCAAGAAGGGAGCAAGAAGGGAGGGGAAGGAAAAGGGAGGAAGGAGAAGGGAGGAAGGAGAAGGGAGGAAGGAAAAGGGAGGAAGGAGAAGGGAGGAAGGAAAAGGGAGGAAGGAAAAGGGAGGAAGGAAAAGGGAGGAAGAAAGAAGGGGAAGGAGAAGGGAGGAAGGAGAAGGGAGGAAGGAAAAGGGAGGAAGGAGAAGGGAGGAAGGAAAAGGGAGGAAGGAAAAGGGAGGAAGGAAAAGGGAGGAAGAAAGAAGGGGAAGGAGAAGGGAGGAAGGAGAAGGGAGGAAGGAGAAGGGAGGAAGGAGAAGGGAGGAAGGAGAAGGGAGGAAGGAGAAGGGAGGAAGGAGAAGGGAGGAAGGAGAAGGGAGGAAGGAGAAGGGAGGAAGGAGAAGGGAGTTCCCCAATCCTTGCTCACACCAGATGCAGGACACATGGCCAGCTGCAGCCTCTGAGCACTGCCCTGACTTCCCTGGGATATTTGGGAATATCCCTGATCCACCCAGGCTCTTCCCTGACCACAGAAAAGTGGCAGAAGCAGAAATAGATGTGTTTTCAAAACTCCCAGTAGGTTCCTATTGTACATCCATCTTCTGAATGGAAAGGGATTAAGCAGAGAGCAGATTTTCTTATAGACAATTACAAAGAAAAAAAAGGGAAACAGGAAGGAATGGACAGGACAGTGCATGGATTTGCACATTCCTCACACCATCCTTGGAGGGCAAAACATCCTTAGATAATAAAGAAACATCAAATTTCAACACAGGCCTTGCCCCAGGCAGGAAGATCCCCCACAATGACCCAATCACTCCTCTTGTTCCAGCTCCACCTTCAGAGCACCCAATTCCAAACCCTCCCAAGGCAGAACCACCCACCACCCTCTCCTGAGAGCCATCCACCCTGGTACCTGCTCCTGGAGCTTTCTGCTCCAATCTCCACCCACCCAGAACCTCCAGAACTGGGCCCAGGTGGCCACACCTTCCCCTGCCTGCAGAACCGAAGCTTCAGCTTTCATTTCCAGCAGGACAGTTCAGAACCCCAAAAAGGAGCTGCCATACCTGGCAAAAACCCCAACCCATGGAGAGAGGGAGGGGAAAGGGGATTTAACACAAACAGAAGACTCATGGCAGCCCCAGTCAGAACAATATTTTAGAAGAATAAATCTTCCAAAAAAGTTTCTAGAAAGACCTGGAAGTGCTCCCAATAACACCATACCCCACATAGAGAGGGTCTGAGAGGATAAATTGAAAACACCATCCCCAGGATCAATACAGGAACCAGGGAGCAGCTGTGCCTCAGCTGCTGCTGCCTGAGCAAAGGCTGGAGGGGACTTTACAAACTCTGCACAGGGTGTGGATCCCAATCTGCAGCTGAGTGTCACTCACTGTGTATTCTGCATGTTTCTTCCCATACCATTTCATCCATTTTCTGAACTCTCTGTCCATCGTCTGCAAGAGGGAAGAAAACCAAAATGAGCCATGAGGACATCTGACATTTCCAATTCCATCCCAGCAATGGGGACACAGCTCTGAAGCACTCATTGATCCCCAGGAGTTCTGTCTGGCTGGAGGTTTTTTTGCCATGAACATTCCAAGCACAGGCAGACACAGAGCTCCTGCTGTTCAGTTTCCTTAAAAAAAACCAAACCCTCACTTTTTTAGGGCCAAGGCAAAGCTGGCATTTTCACCCCCCCACTTTCCAAGGAAGTTCCATGTTCTAAGCAAGGCCCTTACACTGCCCAGCACTAAAAATAGCCCAGCATTAATTTGTGGTGCATAATCCCACCAGGAGGAGGGGGGTGAGCCCAGCCTAAGGCCAGGGAGCAAAGGGACAGCCAGGACAAGGCCAGGTCTGCTGGGGTCACTGAGGAAGCAGAAAGCAGCAGGAAAAGCATCCCAGCAGCAAAGAGGGAGAATCCTGCAGCAAATCTGCTTCCCACAGACACTGGGAGTGCTTCAAACTGCACCCAAACACTCCAGGGCTGCAGAGCAGGGAGGGCTCTGCTGGATTTTATTGTCCAAAGAAGGGAGAAAGGAACAAAATCCCATATCCAGGCAGCTCAGTGCCTCACACATCCCCACAGCAGCCTGGCCCAGCTGATCTTTAGGATTTGGCCCATATTTGGAGGTGAGTTTCCCTCCCTGCAGACATCCCAAAGCCACCTGGACACATTCCTGTGCCTCCTGCTCCAGGTGGCCCTGCCAGAGGTCCCTTCCAACAGCAGCTACTCTGTGGTTCTGTGTGAGAGGCCCAGCAGAAATTGTGATCCCACTGACAACTCAAGCTGTTGGTTGATCAGCTCAACACAACTCTCTGTGTGCACAGCCATGTTTTATGCTCAAAGGCAATCCAAAGCTGAGCAGAAAAACCCAAAAATCCCCTGTATTTTAATGTAGGAACTTCCATTTTAATTTATTAAGGCAACTTCACTGAACTAAATCTGTAACATTCTTCCTCTTTAGGTGAAGCTTTTCAAATTTAATTATCCATCTATTATCATGGTACCCACAGCCAATTTACCTGGAAACTCAACCCAACTTCTTCCACCAATATTTGGAGGAAAACTGTGTCCTAACAGAGGCACAAGGCAGCTCCACACACTCTGACACTGCAGCAGCTCCTTGGTTGTTAAATCTGACAGGATTTAACCAGGGAAATAATGCAGAATATTTTGTTCACCCCTAATTCTGCATTTGTGGCTCATTCTTTTGTTTGCTGTTTGCACACAACAAAGCCTTGTGTTTGCACAGTGACAGGAAGGGGCATTAGTAAAAGTGAGAATTTCACTTTTCCTTATAAAGCTGATCTCTTAAGTTTCATGGTAAACACAGAGGGGATTCCTGCCCTTGTAAATGCCCCAAAGCAAAACCAGGATGTTCACACAGAGGGACTGCAGAGCTCTCCAGGTAAAAACTTCCACTCAGTCCTGGCAGGAGAAATAAAGTGGATTTTTAGGTCCTTGACTGATGATCCTCACCACTGTGTTCATGCATTTTGCCCACATCACTGAAAAGAAGGATCAAGGAGTTTTATTTATTCCCTCCCTCCCTCCTTTCATGAGGGATAATTTTCCAGCCTGTTCAGGCTGAATCTGTGTTTTGACCATTCAGAGGGATCAGTTTCTGTTCAGGCTACTGAAGGAAGCAAACTTCTTGTGGTAAGCCATGCCTGACCTTCCCTGCTTGCTTGTGGCCTCCAGGTTTGCCTTGAACTCATCATCTGTGTGTGTCCCATTGGCACAGGATTAGAAATGTACAGAAACTTCACTAAAGAAGCCTTAACATAAATATTAAAATATACTAAAGAAGCCTGACTAAACATTATCAAACAATCATGGAATGGTTTGGGTTGCAAGGGACGTTAAATATGATTTAGTTCCATACCCTGCCATGGGACACCTCCCACTGTCCCAGGCTGCTCCAAGCCCTTTCCAACCTGTCCTTTGACACTTCCAGGGATTCAGGGGCAGCCACAGCTGCTCTGGGCACCCTGTGCCACCCTCATGGCCAAGAATTCCTTCCTAATCTCTAATCCCAATCTCCCCTCCTGCAGCTTCAGGCCATTTGATGGTTTTCCTCACTAAGGTGCCTCCTGAGCAGACACCCAGCACAGGCCTCAGGAGGAATTCTGGTGGTTTAATAACTGAGAAAGGGACATCACCACCAAGGCAGAGACATGGCCTTTAAAATACTTAACACTAATTGTTTGGTTAATTTATTCCTGGATTTGCTGCTTGCTGTGGCCTCTGGGAGCTGCATTAGAGCCATTCCAGACATGGAATGACTGCAGGTATTTGGGTGAAGCTTACCCTGCACTCCCCTTTTGAACAGACCCTGGTATTATTGTAAAAGAGCTTTCAGGGCCTGCAATGACTCCAGAAAGATGTTTCTGAACACTCCAGACTGGACACACTTCTTTCCTCAAGCCCATCCTTGCACAGCTGCTATTTCACAGCCCCAGGACAGGCTGAGCTGAGCAGCAAATACAGCAGGGCTGGAATTGTGCTTTTCCTGCAGCAGAGAGCCCCTGCCCCAGCAGCACCCCCAGCTCACTCACCTCAGCATACTTGGCTGGAATATCAGCTTTCTCCACTCCATAGTGATGTTTGCAGTTTGTGGCTGCAGCCACCTGAAGCACCACCTGCCCCACACCTGCAGGGGAGGAACAAAAACCCCAGAGCTTAGAAAAAGCCACTGCCAGGGGAGAGAAGCTTTTAGGGCACACAAAACCAGCAGGGGGACTGGGCACTGGGCAGGGCTCTGACATTCCCACTGGAGGCACTGGGCGTTCCCAAAGTCATTCCCACTGCTCTGGTGCTGCTCAGCCCTAAACCAGAGTGAGGAACACCTGATTTATTCCTGGGGACAGCAGATTAAAGTCTCTGCCATGGGCCTGGGCCCCAGCCTGCAGCACTCCCAGATATGATCTGCTTTAACCTTCCTGGACAAACAATTGTGAGATTCTGTGGAGGTTTTGTTTCCCTCCAGATGGAAAAGAGTTTCTCAGCTCTGATGTCTTTCTAAAGGTCTCATCTGAGCATCAGTCCCTGACAGGAAATTTCAGTCAGTCCCACTGAGAGGGGAAGTAGAGGTAACAAAATCACTGAAGAGCCTGTATGTGTATTTATTTGTTTATTTATGTATTTATACTTATATCCAAATAATGCATATATTTGTATATCTATATACTTATATACTTATATATTTATATTCTTAATTTTTTCTTTATATTTACTATATTTTATATACTTATATTATATATTATACCATATTATATTATATATAAATATATAACATGTGTTATTAGTTTGTTTTTCTATTAATATATAATGTATAATATATAATGTATTAAATTACATTTTATATATAATATATTGCATATAAATCTATAAATAATATATATTATTTATTATTACATTTATTTATATAAGGATGTATATTTTTCTATATTATCTATATATTATATATCTTACATCTAATATTATATACTATTATATATATTATATACTACTATATATTATATATTATACATATATAATATATATTATATATTATACTATTAAATATTATATATTCTACATATATAATATATATTATATATTATATAATATTATATATTACAATATATTGCATGTAATATATTATGTATATATATTATAGATTAATATCTTTTCTATTTTATCATATGTGTACTATATTCTTTTTAACAGTATGCTAAATATTAAATTATTCTACAATCTATTGTTTTATTATATATAACATACATAAATATCTAATATTTATATATAACTGTTTTATATTTAAATATACTTTCAAATTCAAAATATAATTTTTTTAAATCTATTTTTCCCCAGAAGTCCTGTATCACACATACTTGTTTGTGTTTAAATGTGTTAAAACTTCAGAACACATCAAGCAAGAGAGGAAATTCTTATTACTCCCTTCCTGTTCTGAACCAGATTTACCAAGAAAAAGAACATTTTCTTACTCAGTGTCTCTGTTGCACATGTGCTTGAGTCATACCTGGTTTCCTCACCAACTAGACACATCAATTTCCTTTTAAAACTTGACTCTGTTGCAGATGTGGGTTAGATTTTGTGGGTTTCACAACTGTTCAAGTAAACTGTAAAAGCTTTTTTGACACACTGACAAGTCAGAGGTAAAAAAACCCTTCATTTTCAGATTCCACACCAAGGGTTTCACATGGGAAGGATCAGGAAATGCAATTTTCAGATATGAAGGGCATAAAACAAATCCAGTGAAAACAGATGAATCCTTAGGAATGTAACTTGATGGGTCAAACATCATTTTTAACATTTCTTCTTCTTCACAAGTGTATCCAACAATACCAACACAAACAAAGGGGTTTGTAACAAGGGTTTATTGCATTGCAGGCTGATATTTCACTGCCACACAAAAGAGGTCTGGGGGTTTGTCTGGTCCATTTAATCCTGGCATAAAAAGCAGGAGCATCTTTGGGGATTATCTGGAAAAATGCTTGTGAAAAATGCGTATTTTATGATTTGCTTTTCACAAATATTAAAATTAATATTATATGTGTTATGTTAGAAAGTTGTGCTGCATTGGTTTTCTTGAGTAGTGTGTTAAATATAGTTTTAGGTTATAAGATGAGGTTGGAGTGGAGACTATGCTGTGTGGGATACTTTTTTTCTAAAGAAAGGACTCACACTGAGATGGCAGCCACAGGACACCTGAATCTTTCAGAGAAGGAGAATTTATTGCCCCATTATCAGGAGAAATGAACTTCTTCCCATCTCACTCAGCCATGAAGATGCCAGTTAAGGTTAAGAAGAAGTTGAAGATGACCAGACAGAGTTCTGTGTTTGAAGGGAATTTATGCATCATGTATGAGGTGTTTGACTATGCAACAGGTTATTGTTTTTAAGGGTTAAACCTCTGTCAATGTGGGTCCTTACCCAGACTGTCCATAACTCTTTGTTTCTATTGTCTCATATTGTCCTAATCCAAATTGTCCAAAATTATTATTACTCTAATTATATTACTCTTTTTATAACCATTTTTATATATTATTACATATTTTTATAACCATTACTATCAAACATTTAAAATTTTAAAAACAAGTGATTGGTGTTTTTCACAATGCTTAACCTCTAACACAACCCTCAGCCCTGGGGGTTGTGTTACAGGATCAGCCCCTATTTGGCTTCCCAAAAATGAGGTTTTCAAAGTATTAAGAAAAAGAGAAAGCAAAGGAGAAAAAGGAATTATTGCTCACTTACCACTGCCCAAGTCAACGAACAAATCATCCTCTGTCATTTTAATCTCATCGATCATTTGGGCCACCAAGTCAAAGGAGGTTTCTCCGTAGACCTCGGGCGAGAAGGGCTCGTAGTTGTTGAGTTTCTCGGGGTCGGTGACCGAGTGGTTGTAGACCTGCTGCAGGATGTGCCTCAGGAGCCCGTTGGAGGGACGCGTGTTCAGCTTCATGGGCTGCGTGGTCCCCTTCCACTGCAGGGACAGAGATGGACCTTGAGATGGCTGGAGCCACACTGCCTGGTGCAGAGTCTGTCACAGCCAAGCCCTTCAGCACAGGCTGTCAGGAGCCAGGACATCGCTCTGCCAGGGGGCTCAGAGACCCTGGCACAGAGCCCAGATCGCCTGTGGGTTTGATTATGACCCATGGAGCAAATTACCAACCTTAGGTGAAGATCTGCAAGCCACGACAAATTAAGTAGAATGATAGTGAAGTTATCACAGGGTTAAAAAAAAGATTTTGGCATTTTTAGAATAGGGATTCAGCGGGGCAAGATGGAGGAATCTGGGCATGTCCAGCCTTTCTCCTTCTTCTTCTCCTTGGCCTCCATCTTTGCTGTGATGGTGGCACTTTTAGATTGGTTTAGAGTAGAAGCTCAGTGTCTAACATAGGTGGTAGGTATTGGAAAGTAATTGCAAACATTGTACAGGTAGTTTTTAGAATAAACACATAACCCTGCCCTGGGGGCAGGCAGAGTGCCTGGACTGTCTTGCTGAGCGGATCTCGGCAGGGCAGGAGAAAGAATTTTATAGATGAGATACAATAAACAACCTTGAGATCCAGAAATGAAGAGCCCTGACTCCTTCTTCAAGTGCCAGGCTGGGAAAAGAGACTTTCTAACTTTTCTTGGGGTCACTCTGACAAGCAAGAGACCCCAACAACAGGTGACAGAAAAAACCTTGTCCTGATAAACCATGCTAAGAAAACCCCACATCCCTCCTGCAAGCCCTAAGATGCTCCAGAAAATCTGTTTGGACATGGAAGACTCAAAATTGTTTGCATTTTAAGAATTGTCTTATGGGTGCTTTTAATTGTTTTTGCCTTTTTGTGTTGATTCAGTTTCTCAGGGTTTTGCTGCTCAGTGACCCCCAGATGTGTTAGAAAGTCTCCTTTCCCAGCCCAGCTGTCAAAGAAGGAATCAGAACTCTTCAGTTCTCCTTCTCAAGGTTGTTTATTTTGCTTCTTATCTATAAAATTCTTTCTCCTGGCCTGCTAAGGTCCCTTCAGCAGGTCAGACAGAGGCACTCTGACACCCTCAGGGTGGTGTTACCTTTTTATACTAAAAACTACGTGTACAATATTTACCATAACTTCCCAATACCTATCACCTATGTTAGACAGTGAGCTTCTACTCTAAACCAACCAATAACTATATATCACTGTTATAGATGGATAATGAGATGATTGGCTCTCACAATTAAAAGATAACTATTGTGTGAATATTAAGAAAAGCTTTAGTGATGTACAGTTATGTTATTGTAGTTTAGATGTCCTGTTTTCCCCATAGTTCCCTTTCCCCCTGTATTGTGACCTATTGTCTAGGACAGGTACAGAGGTGTGCACGTGTGTCCCTTGCATGGGACAGCTGGGAATGGACAAGCTTGGGGGTGCTTAGGGGGTGAGGCATGGCAACACCTGATCTCCAATCCAGTTACAAAGCAGTCTCCACTGATAAATGGCAAAGAAGAGCTGACTGACAGACTTTGGGAGGGTTGATGCAACCCCCAGGGGTATAAAAGACTGAGCATCCATCTTGAAGATGAACTGGCCATGTGATGTGCACGAGGGCAGCTCCCAGTGCTGCAAATTTTTCCTTATAGAGTCCTTTTGTTGTATTTTTGTCAAGGTTTAATGAACCTTTTTAGCTTTTCAAAGTGAGCAGTTGTTTCTCACAAGGGGGACAGGGGTGAACCCACCATGGGGACAAGTGTTATGGATGGATAATGAGATGATTGGCTCTCGCAATTAAGGGATAACTATTGTGTGCATTTTAAGAAAAGCTTTAGTGATGTACAGTTATGTTATTGTAGTTTAGATGTCCTCTGCTCTCCCCATAGTTCCCTTTCCCCCTGCATTGTGACCATCAGACAGGCTGGGTTGTCTAGGACAGGTACAGAGGTGTACATGTGTGTCCCTTGCATGGGACAGCTGGGAATGGAAAAGCTTGGGGGTGCTTAGGGGGTGAGGCATGGCAACACCTGACCTCCAATCCAGTTACAAAGCAGTCTGCCCTGATAAATGGCAAAGAAGAGCTGACTGACAGACTTTGGGAGGGTTGATGCAACCCCCAGGGGTATAAAAGACTGAGCATCCATCTTGAAGATGAACTGGCCATGTGGTGTGCACGAGGGCAGCTCCCAGTGCTGCAAATTTTTCCTTATAGAGTCCTTTTGTTGTATTTTTGTCAAGGTTTAATGAACCTTTTTAGCTTTTCAAAGTGAGCAGTTGTTTCTCACAAGGGGGACAGGGGTGAACCCACCATGGGGACAAGTGTTATGGGTGGATAATGAGATGATTTGCTCTCACAATTAAGGGATAACTATTGTGTGCATTTTAAGAAAAGCTTTAGTGATGTACAGTTATGTTATTGTAGTTTAGACGTCCTCTGCTCTCCCCATAGTTCCCTTTCCCCCTGCATTGTGACCATCAGACAGGTTGGGTTGTCTAGGACGGGTACAGAGAAGGCTGCACGTGTGTCCCTTGCATGGGACAGCTGGGAATGGAAAAGCTTGAGGGTGCTTAGGGGGTGAGGCATGAGGGGATCAGGCACACCTGATCTCCAATCCAGTTACAAAGCAGTTTCCATTGATAAATGGCAAAGAAGAGCTGACTGACAGACTTTGGGAGGGCTGATGCAACCCCCAGGGGTATAAAAGACTGAGCATCCATCTTGAAGATGAACTGGCCTTGTGGTGTGCATGAGGGCAGCTCCCACTGCTGTGAATTTTCCCTTATTTAGTCCTTTTGTTGAATTTTTGTTAAGGTTTAATAAACCTTTTTAAATTTTTAAAGTCAGCAGTTGTTTCTCACAAGGGGGATGAGGGTGAACCCACTGTGGGGAGAAGGAAGTGGCACCAAACCCACTGAGGGATGAGGGACAGGCCCCTCCCACCCCCTCACCCTCAGCTTGGGCTGCAGGTGCTGCTTCCTAAAGATAAAAGCAGGGAATGGAACTGGAGCCAGGCTGGCAGAGCTGGGGGTGCTCACCTGGACAAGAAAAGGCCCTGGGGAGAGCTCAGAGCCCCCTGCAGATCCCAAGCCCTGTGACTTGAAGCCAAGGGGTTTGAGCAGTGCCCTTGATTTCAGTGAGAGCAGAAATGGGTTCAGATGTGTTCAGTCCTTGGGGAAGCAGGGCTGGAAGCAGGAATTGGGGACTGCAATAATCTGCTTTGCTTCTGTGCTGGGAGAGCTGGGGGTGCTCACCTGGACAAGAGAAGGCTCCAGGGACACCTGAGAGCCCCTGGCAGGGCCTGAAGGGGCTCCAGGAGAGCTGCAGAGGGACTGGGGACAAGGCCTGCAGGGACAGGAGCCAGGCAATGGCTCCCACTGCCAGAGGGCAGGGCTGGATGGGATCTTGGCAATCAGGAATTGTTCCCTGGCAGGGTGGGCAGGCCCTGGCCCAGGGTGCCCAGAGCAGCTGGGGCTGCCCCTGCATCCCTGGCAGTGCCCAAGGCCAGGCTGGACAGGGCTGGGAGCAGCCTGGGACAGTGGGAGGTGTCCCTGCCATGGCAGGGGTGGCACTGGATGGGCTTTGAGGTCCCTTCCAACCCAAACCTTTCTGCAGAAACTGCACACCAGCAGCTGCTCAGCACTTTGTCACACCTCAGTTACCAGGTAATAAAGGGGAACTTAAAGAGATGCCAGAAACAATTGGCAATGTAAAACACAACACTTTGGGGTGGGTGTAAAGGTTTGTTCACTCCTTTTTTCTACCCCCACTGAACTGCTGTTGACTGTCAACACAAGAACAGGTTAATTTTGCTCCAGGAGCTGTCACATGGGAGGGATCAGATGCACTCAGACAGGGAGTGGCAGGAAAGAGATGGAAATCAAGCTTCCTTTCTTCTTCAGAAAAAACCCCATGCTAAGCAGAAAAGTTGTTCAGTTTTTAAAATGTCTACCTCTCCCCTTGATAAAAACAAACCATAAAAGGGCAATTCCAGTCCCCTTCTAAACTCTCCTGTGAAATTCAAATGGAAAGGAAAAAATGAAGCCCATCAGGTTTGCCAGTTCAGATAGGAACTGCAAATGCTGAATAGCTGCTAATAATTAGCTATTAACCAACACAGACATGAAGGTGCCTGAATCCAAATAAGCACAAGTTTTAAGGCCCAAAATATTAAGAAAATCCCAGCAAAAAAGGCTTGTTGCCATAATACTGCATATTTCAAATAACTCCCACAAGCACAGCAGAGAAAAAATCCACCTATGTTTTCAAATTAAGCAGAATAGTAACATTATTCATTGTTCAGGTTTTGCTTCCTCCAGTTCAACCTTTTTGGGGGGTAAAAGAACCAAAAAAGCTCATTAAATTGGCCTGAAAAGAGATTACATTCTACTTTAGCCAGTGATCCCACAGGCCAGAGCAGCTGAACTGTAGCAAGGAAATTCCTAAGCCATGGATCACTTCCACAACACACAAGAGACTTCATATGGATTATTTAAGTACCCATAAGTCACAGATTTCTCTGTGCAAAAGTCAATCTATATGAGAAATCCCTGTGTTAAAGGTAGATAAACTTTTCCTTCCCCCTAAAGGCAAGTCAGTTGTTTCCACGTGCCAAAATAACAGTGCCAGAAGTGCACAAGGAAGAGCACCAGAATTTGGGAACTAAAAATGGTGTTTAATTCCCTTTCTTTCTGTAGGAATATCCTTCCAATACTAACTCCTTGACTGTCCAGATGTGATCAAGAAAATAAGTTTAATATTAAGCTCAAGCCCCCCAAAAACTGGAAGTTCCAGGCTGTTTCTGGAACACCACATTTCTCACACCTCAATTAACAGGTAATTTCACAGGTGATAAAGGGGAATGTAAAGAGATGCAAAAGCCATTTGGCAATGTAAAGCACAGCACTGAATAGAGTTGGGGTGGGTGTAAAGGTTTGTTCACTCCTTGTTTCTTTGCCATCCCCACTGAACCGATGTTGAACTGAGTAATGATGCAGAACTGAGTCGGTCACAGCTTTCTGCTGTTGTTCACTACCTGAATTCAAAGGTGGCACACAAAAACCTTGGCAGGTTTTTGCTAAATTCAATACTCACCAACTGGTGGATGCTGTCAATGGCTCGGTTGTACTTGTCACACAGTCTCTGCATGCTCTCAAAGCTGGGGGGAGAACACAGGGGCAGCTCAAAACAGGCAGGTTTGAAGGTAAAACCTTGTGCTTTTCTATCCTCTTGGTTAGTAGGTATTTAGGGTTTGCTTCTCTCAGGATATGTAATTACATACATAGATTAAAGTCTTTGTTTCCTTTAAATAAAATCCCCAGCAGACCCGGAGTACATGACAAATAATATTAGTTCCTTTATTTCAAGTCATACTTTGAGTACAGCCCTTTTCCTGGTAAACTTCTGTATTCTCAGAACCTCTTCTCCATATTTTCAGCTGAAGAGACATTTAAGAGCTCAGTACATTTTTCTCTTTTTTGTTGTCATCTCTCCACAATAATCAGTCCTGAGACAAGCAGATGCTTTTCCAGAAATTCACCCTGGCACTGAAAATGCATTTAGAGCCAGTACACAGCCTAAAGCATCACCCATCAGGAAAGCCTGAGGATTGCTCCATGGGCTGCCTGGGATTATGGTCAGCCCAGGCAGATGCCCTAATGACACAAACTGAGAGGATTAAATCAATTCAAGGCCAGGAAAGAAAGTTGATTCCTGGGAACATCAATGGTTATGTAACCAGACCCACAGAGCAGAGCACAAACAACACAAGGAGTTACAGGAGTGACATCCCCAAAACATGGGCATTCCCAAAGCTGGCAAGGGATGGGGGGCCAGGGGACACCAGAAGGGACCCTTGAGTCTCTTGTGATCCTCAGGGTCACTACCCTGGCCAGGACTCCTCTCCCATGAGCTCTCCCAGCTGCCTGTGCTTGTTTCCAAGCTGGGAAAAGCAAGGCTGCAATGGGGTTTGTCTGCATTTCCATAACCTGCTGCTTCTCTTTCACATCCCTGCCTCAGCCCATCTGCTGCCAGGGATTTTTCCAACAAATTTTTGCAAAGGAAGTAAAAAAGACTGAAATCTTTACCAGAATTCCAGTTCATGACTTTCTTGAAAAGCTGCAGGAAGATAGTGGGGGGTGACTTTGGGGAACAGAAGGGTTTCCCTTTTATTCAGCATTGCTGCCAACCACACTGATGGTCCCCAGTGAAACACACCCAGTGAGGATGCCAGAACCACAAAAATACAGTAATGCAGCTGCTGTGAGTAATCCACAAATCCAAATTAATGAATTTTAATGGGATGCTTGACCTTGATTACCCCTTTTGAATTTTCCAGGAAGAAGGCAAAGACTAAAAAGTCTTTCAATGAAACAATGAAAATTGAGAGAAGAGGAGGCAATACCTTAAGCATGACAGAAATATCTGGGGCTGGGGAGGTTTAGGTTGGGAAAGGTTCTTCCCCCTGAGGCTGCTGGGCACTGCCCAGGCTCCCCAGGGAATGGTGCCAAGGCTGCCACAGCTCCAGGAGCTCCCAGGGCTGCTCAGGGTGGGATTTTTGGGGTGTCTCTGCAGGGCCAGGGGCTGCACTGATCATCCCTGTGGGATCCAGCTCAGGATATTCTGGGATTCTGCTCACAGCAATGCAGTTTCATCAGTAAACTTTCTTCTAACAGTTTAATCATTCTGTAGATTTGGATAAATTCAGTCTTTCCCATGTAGGCAACCAGGGAGGTTTTTATAAACTGCAGTTGAGCATCCTCCCTTTTCCCATGTCAGTGGAGCCAAGTCCATGCACAGAACCTCAGAAATCTCCACAGACACAGCACAGGTCAGGATCTGCCTCTCCCAGGAGGGGAATATCCCATAATTAATTTATTCTGAACTCCATGGAGCTGAGGCACCTCAGAACCCTCCAGCTGCCCACAACACTCCTGGGAATTTCACCTTTGAATTCAGCCCCCAACCAGCAGGAAAGGGAGAAGGGGAAGGTGCAGCTCCCTCTGCCACCCAGCTGTGCCATGGCCTGCTGAGAACGGGAATTCCTGGTTACTACAGGAATAGGAACCATTGAAATTCCCACTCTGGCCATACTCTCTGGGAATTTCACTTTTTAATTCAGGCCCCAACCAGCAGGAAAAGGAGAAGGGGAAGGTGCAGCTCCCTCTGCCACCCAGCTCTGCCATGGGCTGCTGAGAACGGGAATTCCTGGTTACTACAGGAATAGGAACCATTGAAATTCCCATCCTGGCCATACTCTCTGGGAATTTCACTTTTTAATTCAGCCCCCAACCAGCAGGAAAAGGAGAAGGGGAAGGTGCAGCTCCCTCTGCCACCCAGCTCTGCCATGGGCTGCTGAGAACAGGAATTCCTGGTTACTACAGGAGCAGGAACCACTGAGATTCCCAGCCTGGCCCTGCTCCAAGGGTGCAGATACCAATCATTGTTTCACAGTGAGTAATTCAATGTACAGCAGAGCTGCACTGGAGCTCGTGGAGTTTCCAATTATGTCCTTAATCCAACTGCCTTTGCCAATGTTGCTGTTACACATTTCCTACCAAAATAACTCCAGCAGAGCCTGAAGCCAGTTCTGAGAGAAAACTTCAGTTGGTAGTGTCTAAGAATAACCAGTTCCACACTGGTTCACTACACCCTCAACTCCTGCTGGGAACAAAAACATTCCTCTCACCTTTTTGTATCATAGTCAATTAAAACATAGTTTTCCATGGCAAGCTTGAGATCTGGGATTTCTTCACAGACCCACCTAGAAGGAGAGAAGAAATAATGAACAGTGGTGTTGCCAATTAAGTGTAATAAGGTCGTTTGTCTCAACTTGGGCTGCTTTACATGAAGAGAGGACACTGCAGCAGCCCTGGGAGCTCACAGTAATTCAGGAATAAGGCAGACATAATGGGAAACTGCAACAGTTCACATTTGTTCTGAATAAACAGCAAGATGCCTGTAGACACTGGCAGGAGCAGAAAGCTTCAAAATGAGGTGATAAATGTATTCCACGTGTCTAAAAATACTCAGAGTCATGGCTGATGTTAATCTAACAGAAAATGCAGAAGTGCAGCATTTCCAAAGAATTCTGATGCTGCAAGGAAGCTTTGACAAGGCTGAATGTGGAGAAGACATTTCCCACAGCAGCCCAAAAACCCTGTCACCAACCACTCAGTGCCAGGATATTCTCCTCTGGGGAGTGCTTAAACTCTCTCACACCTTACACACCCAGCCAAACCAGATTTTGAGAAGTTATTTTGCTAAAAGACCCCTTTGATACTCTGAATTAACACAGCCCTGTGTGTTGTGGCTATCAGAAAGGGGAAGCACATTCCCACTTGCAGTGCATCCAACAATGGCAGCTCACAGGAGAGAGCTTCACTTGTGGAATGGAGGAAGATTCATTCCCTTCAAAAGCAATTTAAAAGCCACAGAAGCTTTGCACACAAATTTCCTCCACAAATATCAAATTGGAAAGCACTGTCAGCATCAGAAAAACCCACATCACAAGATGAATTCCAATAGGAATCACAGAATTTCTTCCTCATGAACTTTGCTCCATTCTTCACTATTAAAATGGTGAATAAAAAAATATACTGAAGATCCAACAGTTCTGTTCCTTGTGGCTGATTCACACATGGTTAATAACTACACAGGCCAGTGAAAACCTGAACTTGGACATGCATGGCTGGCCCTCCTCTGGTGTCTCACATGTCCCCTAAAAGCACCAGGGCTCAGAGGGGGTGGCTGGAGTGGTTGGTGCTTCTGAAATCCCAGGAACAGGCAGTCAGCAGCTGGATCCTTGTGTCCAGGGATATTCCATTATTCCACTGCCTGATGACATAAAGGGATATTGGGATATTTCCTGCATTCTCTCAGCACCACTTTCACAACACCATGGGCACTTTGCACAAGGCAAAGGCAGCATAAAGAGCTTTTGACACTGAGTTCACTCCAGCCTTACTGAAAACAGTTGTGAAACATCACCTGACCCAACAGCTTCCTAAGGCAGCTTCCTTTTGCCTCCATGCAGCACAGAAAGCACCAACCACTGCAGCCACCCCCTCTGAGCCCCTTGGAAAGGGGCCCAAAAATGATGCCACAAAACCCCCAAAGACAGAATCTTATCCCCACCAGTCCAAGCAAACTGGCAGCCCCAGTGGCAGAGTTCTGTAGATAGAAACTCCTTTAGGAGAAAAATGTTCAGCTGCAGCCTCATTCACATCCTCTGCCCCCCAGCCCGTGGGAAATGCTCTGATTTCAGGCATGTGAGTGATGTTATCAAGCACTTGGTTCTCTCACCCTCACACTGGCAGCACACAAGGCTCACTGCTGCCTTTGCCATCTGTGAGCAGATTTTGAGCTCAAGTGGTTCTGCAGGTAAAACACCTCCTCCCTCACCTGTATCTGCACCACCCAAGCACTAAACCCTGCTGCAGACACAGCCCTGAGCTGAGCCAAGGGCAGCCTGTGAGGATGTAAACCAGTTAACAAGAGCAGCTTTGGAATGGGGATAACTCATCCTCATCCCTCAGGTGTTTGGGGAATTCGTGTAGCATTTATTAAAAGTTGTTCTTTGGCAAGTCCCCTCCTAATCCTGCTGAAATAACAGCAAGTCACGTCCTGAGAGCCTGTGTTGGGAAATCCTCTGACTTCTTGCTGCTCTCAGTTGTCTTTCACCTTTATCCTCCCATTTTCCCCACGTTGTTCCAACTTTATCAGCAGGATTAAGAGCAATGCTACAGGGAGATCATTGCCAAACAACCCAAATGCTGCAAGATCACAGCAACAGGGGAAACAGAGAGGGTGGGCAGAGGCAAGATCAGGACATAACACATCAATGTTCCCTAAACCTTGTGTGTCCACAGCTCAGATACCAACTGCCACAAGTATTAAAGCTGAGCACTACCACTCATTTTGAACTCTGTTCACAACAGAATGGAATATGGCAAGATAAAACAAAAATCTCTTTGGCAAGGAGCTCTGTATTGCAGCAAATTCAGCTTAGAAAAATAACTCAGAGGTGCTAAATGGTAACTGCTGCCCTCCTGTGTGTCCTGAGTCCAGCCATCCCTCCCCAGAGCTGCAGTGAGGCACAGGAAGGGTCCCAGGCAGGCTGCACCCAGCACTTACCGAATTGTCTCAATAATTTCATGAGCAGCATCGTGGTGTTTGTCCTGAAATGAAACAGAAAAAAAGACACATGAGGTGCTGTTTGTCAGGAGTTTACAGAAATTAAAAACACACTGGTTTTTAGGATACAGGTGCCAAGCATACAGGGATAGGAGTCTTTGAATTCCACCCATTGAGGCCATCAAAATGAGCCCTATAAGGAAAAATAAGGCTGAAGGAAATAAATTTCTCAAGTGTCTCTGACTGAACTGTCATTCTACTCATTTCTCTGTCATTCCCTGCAGTCAGGGACTGTGTGGCTGGGGATTATGGGACTGAAGCCTTTGGGATTGTTGGGATGCAGCAGGTACTCCCCTGCAAGTTCCCAATGAGCAGCTGAATCCCTTGGCCCAGCATCTGGCACAGGCTCCCAGCTCCAGATGGGCAGTGAGATTCTTGCACAGGGAATGGCTTTCCAAAATAAAGTACCCAATAAACAGTGGGAGCAGATGTCAGTGCAGGAAAAACAGCCTCAGAGCACACAGAAAAAAAGGCCTGGATGTGCAGCCCTGCTCATGAACTGAAAGCCAAAACACACCAAACCCTGAGCAGCACACATCCCCACCAGGGTGAGACACGGAGGTTTGCTGGTTTCATTTGGGAGTTTACTCAGGAGCAACAGAAGCATTTTACTATTATTATTATTATTATACATTATTATACTAATATATATATATATATATATATATATATATATATATATATATATATATATATATATATATATAATATATATATATAATATATATATAATATATACTATATATATAATATATACTATATATATACTATATATATTTATATATATATATACACTATATATTATATATATATACACACTTATACTATTTACTATTTTAATTATTATTATTATACATTATTATACTATTTTATATATATAAATAATATTATATATATACTATATATAATATTATATATATACTATATATATAATATTATATATATACTATATATATACACTGTATATATATATATACACACTATTATACTATTGACTATTTTAATTATTACAAATTCATGCTAGAAAGAGCTCTTGGAGCTGTATTTATATGCACCATTGTACAAAAGAAGTTCTATTTTAGGGAAGCCACAGGAGTTCCTCATCCACATTGATGTATCCAGCCTTAGTTACCAGAGTCCATCTGCACAAAGCTGGGGTTATATTTAGACATTTGTTTCTGCAAGTGGCTTTGACCTTTTAATTAGGAGTCTTGTATCTACAGCCCTTCCAGAAATACAAGTGCAAAGGCTCCCTCAAATCATTTCCCTTGCTTTGTGCTGCAGAAATGTCATTTCTGTAGTTACCAGGGGAAATTCTGTAGCAAAGGGCAGAGACAGGTAACAAAGCAGAGGACTGGGGGCAGGGGAAGGCAAGAAGAAAACCACTGATGGTTGATAACAGCAAATGGTTGGATTATCTCATTTTCAAGACATGGAAGGACATGATCTGAGTCAAATGGAAGCATTTGCTATCATTATCTCAGCTTTCCTATTTTCAGGAGGAAACACATTTTCCCTTGTACAACCACTCCATGCACTTGGAATCAGCCAGGCCTGCAGAAGTTCTCATTCCAAGAAATTTCTACACAGCCCTTTCAATGCCTAGTTAAAAACTTCAGGACAAAGAGGCAAGAATTTCTGAGCTTTGCCATCCTTCCAGTGCCTTAAAGGGGCTCATAAACAGAAGGGAGAGGAAATTTTAATATGGGGAGTTGGTGACAGGAGCCAGGCAATGGCTCCCAGTGCCAGAGGGCAGGGCTGGATGGGATCTTGGCAATCAGGAATTGTTCCCTGGCAGGGTGGGCAGGCCCTGGCACAGAGTGCCCAGAGCAGCTGGGGCTGCCCCTGCATCCCTGGCAGTGCCCAAGGCCAGGCTGGACAGGGCTGGGAGCAGCCTGGGACAGTGGGAGGTGTCCCTGCCATGGCAGGGGTGGCACTGGGTGGGCTTGAACAAACCATAACCCACAAACCATTCTGGGATTGTGTGGAATTCTTTCAATGCCCAGCTGTGGCTCAGGGTGCTCCCAGGTGTGGCTGTGGCTGCAGGGGCCAGGGAGGAGCTGCCTGTGCCTGGGGAGCTCCTGTGCTGAGCTGAGCTGGGCTGAGCAGGCAGAGGGGGCAGTGCCACTGTGTTTGTGTCCCCAGTGGAAGGACACGACTGCAGTGAGGAGGGACAGGAGCCAGGCAATGGCTCCCACTGCCAGAGGGCAGGGCTAGATGGGATCTTGGGCAGGAATTGTTCTCTGGCAGGGTGGGCAGGCCCTGGCACAGGGTGCCCAGAGCAACCTGGATCAAGGGTGTCATCCTGGGACTGCCCCTGGATCCCTGGAAGTGTCCAAGGCCAGGTTGGATGGGGCTTGGAGCAGCCTGGGATGGTGAAAAATGGAACTAAATTATATTTCAAGGTGCCTTCCAACCCAAACCAGTCTGGGGTTCTGTACTAAAGCTATGAGAAAATATTATTTCACCAGAAAAAAAACTCTTCTTTTCAGATGACAAAAAGTTAACACCAAATCTAGAAGTCACAAGGAAGGCTAAGCCAAGAAAACCAAATTATTCCAGTTACAACATGGAGAAGGAAAAACATCCAACAACATTAGCCAGGACATTTGGGATGGATCACACAGAGCCTGGAGCTGAGCTCTGCCCTGGGCACATTGAACAACTGCTGCTGCACCAAACAGCACAGAACAGATTTGGGCTGTGCTTCCTCCAGGCTCCTGGGCTGGGACAGCCCAAACCCTGCAGAAAACAGCAGCATCCATAACCCAGTTTCCCAGGAATGTCAGGTAATTCTTCTGATAAATGTTGGCCTAGAAACCAGGGAAACAATCAAACTAAAACCTGCTCCTGCCTCTCAGTGCACAAATAAAAGAGAATGTGATGTCTCCTTTTTTCTCTGTGCACTGAAAGGAGGGGACAAGGAGGGAGGAGAACTTCTCTTTCTTCTCATTTCTTATCTGCCAAGTGTGTAAGAATAACCCAGGCCAGCAGCTCATCCATAAACATCTCCCAGCAATGTTCATGTTTCACTCCATGCACGATGATCCAGCAGAGCCCCCTGGGCTGATGCAGCTCTCCCAGCCAACTGTGTCCCTGCAGAGTCACAATTTCCTTTATCAACAGAAGCACATTATACCAGAAAAGTGAATTCAGGCTTATTCTGGCATAACCATTTCCTGGGAGGAAGTTCTGGGCTTGGACACTTGCAGTGAGAGCAGAGCACATGAGAGACCCCTTGTCCTACAGGTCTTCATGAAAACACCCCTCTAAGTGACTAAAATTGTCTCAATAACAGACTCTCTTGTCTTGGGTTAAAAAGTAAACAAATCTATCTAAGAAATAATAATAATAAATTACAATTCACATCTACAACTACAGATCAGCCAATTTAAGTGACTTTGCACAACCTCACATGGAAACTCCAGGCAGAAAGAAGGAACCTTTGAGCTTAGTTTGTGACATTATCTGGGAATAAAGAAATCCAAACCAGTTCCACATCTACTGCTGCTGAACTCCCCAGGCTGAAACACTTCCCAAGTTTACTTCACTCTCTAACAGACTTTGGCTGAGCAGAGAAGCTCCCAAGGTCTCAAGCAAATCTCACCAAAAAAATTAAATAAAATAATATTTTTTTTTAATCCAGTAGGATCTCCTACATTTCTTCAAAGCAGAGCTGGCTGTGGAAAACTGAGGGAAGGGGGACACATATCAGAAGGGACTACAGAGCAGCTTCTCTTTTCTTAGAGAAACTTCCAACCCCATTTCATGATTATGGTTGTATGATTTAATCAGAAAGGACATTGAACAGCAACAGGCATCACATCTGTGTTCAGGCAATTGGTTGTGGCACTGGCAGGGAGTCTGAGGCAACCAAAAGGCAAATGGAATAGAAACTGTTGGATTAGGCTCTTTTCTGACCCACAGATGAGACAACGGAGGTGTTTAAAAATTTTAATTCTATTTTTAGTCTCATGTGAAAGGTGAGACAATACAGATGTTATAATTCACAGCATCACAATTAGAAGCTAATTATTTCCAAATTACAATACATCATAAACATTTCTTGACTTATCAGTTTTTGTCACACCATGCTGTAAAGGCCTCAAAGCCAATCATCCAAAATTACCCCTTGTGGGTCCTACTGCAATGCATCTTTCATAGTTTTATTTCTCTAAAGTATCTCAACTTATTTGTAAGGCCACACTTCAAAACTTATTTCTAGTTCCATTTCTCTCTCAGCAATGTCTGCCCTATTCCATGGCATTTCTCATCTCAAAGTTTAAATACAGATACATCCTATACAAACCTTCTATCAAACTTTAATAAAAGTGCTCTACAAATCCATTTCCCACAGAAACCCCCCCAGATCCTGCCCCTGCTCCATCAGCAGCCCAAGCAGGTGCAGTGGTGCAGGAGCAGCAGCTTTGCCCCAGATCCTTGGGATAGATGAACACTGAAGGCAGCAGCCTGGGAGGAGGATGGATGGAAGGTTGGATGGAAGGGTGGAAGGATAGATGGATGGATGGATGGATGGATGACAGATGGATGACAGATGGATGACAGACGGACGGACGGATGGATGGGGGATGGATCGGGGATGGATGGATGGACAGGGATGATGGATGGATGAGGGATGGATGGATGGATGGATGGACATGGATGATGGATGGACATGGATGATGGATGGATGGATGGATGGATGGATGGATGGATGGATGGATGGATGGACGGATGGATGGATGAGGGATGGATGGACATGGATGATGGATGGATGGATGGATGGATGGATGGATGGATGGATGGATGGATGGATGAGGGATGGATGAGGGATGGATGAGGGATGGATGAGGGATGGATGAGGGATGGATGAGGGATGGATGGATGAGGGATGGATGGATGAGGGATGGATGGATGAGGGATGGATGGATGAGGGATGGATGGATGAGGGATGGATGGATGAGGGATGGATGGATGAGGGATG